CATAACAGTAGCCGCAGTTTTTAAGTGCATTATACTTCAATTTTATTATAAATATAACAGTTGTGAATATTGTGAATAACAGTTGCTAATAAATTAGCAACTACTTATCTAAAAGATAGGCAATCCTGTTTAAACTGGTTGCAAGAACAATCATTAATTGCGAAAGAAATGTGTTGTCCAGTGTGTTTGAGCCGCTTCGAACGGAAAAAGAAAATGAAGTTTGATTCGTCCGAGTTAGGAAGATTTCGGTGCAGCACAGGACATGTTACAAAATCAGTTAGTGCCACAAAAAACAGCTGGTTTGCAAATATGAAAATGTCGCCGGAAAAAGTTGTATTGCTTATGTACGCATTTGCCTCGAAATTAAACAGATATTACTTCGAAAGCTACAGGATGAATCGGTGGCGAAGGAAAGATCGTCGAAATCGATGAATCGCTAGTGGGTAAAAGGAAGTATAATCGAGGACGCCCGAAAGAAGGCAACTGAATTTAGGAATGATTGAAAAGGATGGGGCTGGGTACCGACTGGAAATCTGTCCGGACAATAAACGAGATAAGGATACTTTAAATAATTTAATTACAAAGCACGTAGCACCGGTACGGAAATATGGGCCGATTGCTGGAAAGGATATAATGATCTCGAAAATATTCCCGGCATGAATTATAAGCATAAAACGGTGAATCATAGCCAAATGGGCACTGGCCGATTTGTAAATGAAGAGACAGGCGCAAATACAGAAAAGGTTGAAGGGTTCTGGAAGCACTTGAAATACAAGATAACAAATGCAGGATATAGAAAAGAGGATCTTGCAGAACACATGTGTACCCTGAGTTGCATTGAACTTGTCGCAGTGAAGTTGGCTACAAATTCACTAACACATTCACGCCGCGTCGGTGAGTCGATCTCGCCCATCGGCTCACCGACGCAGCGTGAATGTGTTAGTGAATTTGTAGCCAACTTCACTGCGACAAGTTCAATGCAACTCATTGTCAGATATGTGGCACAAAATATGTAGTGCGGACGAAAGGACTCGATCCATTCGAACAGTTAATAGAAGACATAAAAACAGTATATCTAGCTTGTAATAGTAACATTTAGTGATAACAACAGTGCGACAGATAAAAAAAAACTGTGATTTTTGCTTGAACATAAACAATTATGTGAGATTTGTGTAATTAAAACATTTTAAGATTTGTTCCTTATAAATATTTGAAATAGCCGCCGGAGTTATATGTGCAGAGACAGTAAGTACATAAGCGATCGCACCATGCCCACGCATGCGCTGCCAGGGACGTGCACGTACAGGTAAGATCCCGATGCAGTAGTAGTAGCAGTTTTTTGCAAATATCTCGGTAAGCGTTGTTCATTTCTTCAAAATAATATTTTCGGATCTTTACTCCCCTCGACTCCCTCTTTATAACAATATATGTCATATCCCTGTAAGGCGTTATCACCATTCTGAGCTTAAGCCAAAGAAAGTTTTATAAAAAAATTCGTTTAGTTTGGTACCTACAATTTTTACAAATATAATATTTTCTAAATTATTACTTTCTTTTTTCGCTGTTATGTAACTTGTAATACCTGTATAATTTTGAATAAAAGATGTGTACATGTTTATTTTTATTGTTGGATTTATAACCTAAGTGATTTTAGTGTTCCGCCAATTTTTTCTATAATCAAAATTGCTCCGTGACTTCAAAAAGGTTAAGAACCATTGCATTAACACGTTACGTAGATAGAAATGGACTTGTGCAGTTAGACATATCAAAGCAGTAATTATTATTAAGCATACGATCAGTTAATTTGTAAATTTGAAATTTGTTGTTTTACATTGTTAGTATAATGCTGAGGACTGATTTCTTCTCTTCTCCTAGTACATAATTCAATTTTCAAAAAATTTGAGGCACTAGTCACCGCTGGCTACCATGAAAATCAACGCGTAAAAGTAATAAGGTAAAATATTAACAGAAAACCAATAGTTGATAAAGTACTTAAACTTTAAAACTGAGATCATTTTGGGCAAAAGTGCCCCCAAACCAATTGCGACTTGCAATGTCTCATTCGATAGCTTATCAAGAAAAAACAGTTTGTGCCAAATTTCAGCTCTGTATCTCACCTGGGGTGTAGTAATGGGCAAAAATGTAAAACGCACGTTTTGGTCAATTTTTCCTATATTTGTGCATGAAAAATTCTGAAAAAAATCAGAAATATTTCAAATTCATGAGGCACATATCATAGTAGCTTCGCAGATTTTTAGCCCGCTCAAGTTAATTTTCAGTCTCGTCCAGTGCAGAAATATTAAAAAGCAAATAATACACTAACAATAAATGTGTAAAGAAAATGTAAAAATTGAAAGTATTTTTCGTCTTATCGAACGAAATATATCCAAAATATCGGCTTTTGATTTTTTTTAAACACGGCGCACCAGACTAAAAAGTTCTGAAGATACCAGTCATGCTAATATCTAATTACTATAAAAGTAAAAATCTAGTGTCTCAAGAGCATCTATCCGAAATCTTGATTTTTCGATTTTCTTTTTTTGCGTTTTTGATTTTGATTAGCCTAGTCTGAAAAAATTCACACTTATAAGCGAACATGTCTAGAATACCATTAAATAGGGAAAATATGGCAAAAACCAGTTTTTCTTTCTTATCCTGGAAGGGAAACTACCCTTCTGGTTGAGATACAGGGTTGAAACTTGATATACAACGAGTTTTTTTGGGAAGCTATTAAATAGTATTATACATAGCTCAATAAAATACCCTTATTCGATGTAAAATTCAAAGAAACTAAGTTACAATTTAGTTAGTGAACGTACGCATACTACATATTTGCTTCTCCTTGTGTTTGAACGTTCTTGTGTTGGTACGAGCACTGTATTCCGCCGATTTCAGACAAAATATCACGAGTGAAATTCATTTATCAGATTGAAAATCAGATTTATTAATCCACTTCCAAAGCAAACATGTGCGTACATTTTACGACTCTGTTTCGTAAAATTCGCAAAGACTTTCTTGTGAGGAAAACTTACAACTGATCGAGTTGAAAGCTAATCTTACAATCTTACAAAGCTAATGTTAGGTAGAATGCTTTAAGCAATCTTACTTTCAAATTTGCCAATTTTTCTTTTCTCCGATTCTGCTACACGGACCGACCACAAGTGCGAACCAGCGGCAGCGCAGCGATTCACTGATGATATACATTCATTCAATTACAGGTTCTGTGAAGGAGTTGTTCTATGGTAGTCAAGGCCAAAATCTGTCTATTTTCAATATTGCCATTTTTGATTGCAATTTTTCATCGTGTAATCAATACTTGCATTAATGACTACGGTAGATTGTAAACTGCGTAACTTGTTACTTCTAATCTCGATTTACTCTACATCGGATGGTGCCTGTACTAGCGACATGTTAAACTTTAAATTTAATATTTCGGGAATGATTCATGCAAAAGAAACAAATAGGTAGTGTCTTAAAAACCATTCAATGGTAGCTACAAGATTATTTAAAAATTTTCGTGCGTCCTTCATAATATCAAATAAACGAATAAACTATCGGAGATAAATCAGCGAAGGGCAAACGAAATAAAGTGATAAAGCTGCACATGGGTCTGACGTATGTGTTTGGGCCTAACATAAGTGCAACTGTACTAAAAGAATGAGAAATCAAACACCTCGAAAGTCTTTGTTGGGGTTTAAGTATACTTAACGATTAAAGAGTTCGCAATCGTTCTGTTCGAAGAACAATTATTAGTATCGTTGATACGCTTAAGTAAATAAATAAGACTTTCGTTTTATTATCGATCTGGTAACAAATATACAGGAAATCTCATAACTGCTGTAACACCAGGAAATGGGGGATTGCTGGGGTGATTCTGAACAACTTTTTCCTTTACCAAAATATTGGTTGAAGCTTCGTTTTTGAATTATTAACGAAAAACACTGGCCCATGAGAGCGTTGGCTCTCAACAGCTCTAGGTCGTGGTCGTGATCAAACGCATTGGCACAGAGTGGGTTATTCATAAATACCGAATAATTCCACATTGTTCTTAATTTAAAACGATGTAACATTTGTCGCACGTTTCCCTCGATACCCACGTTGTGCCAATGCATTTGTTCACAACCATCACCGAGCGCGATTGAGAGTCAACGCTCTCGTGGTTGAGTGCACACTCTACGCGCACTCTTATTGGCCAGTGTTTTTCGTTAATAATTCAAAAACGAAGCTTCAATCAACATTTTAGTAAAGGAAAAAGTCGTTCAGAATCACCTCAGCAACCCCCGATTTCCGGGTGTTACAGGAGTTATGAGACACCCTGTATATAATAGTAACTGCGTAGCGTCCCGACGCAATTAAACCGTTAAACCGTTAAAAAAATGACTATCGCTGGTGGTTTTACATGCGAGGCGAGGCGTCCAGAATTCATTTCCTCACAGATAGTGGTGGGCATATTTCTGAATTGTATCGATATTTGGTATCGATACGTATCGATAACCAAAGTATCGATATACAGTGAGAGGCAAAAGTGAGTAGACACTATTCAAAATAGAATACCTCGGGGTTAAAATTTGACTAAATAACTTGAGGCTTTTCGAGAAGCTATAAAAATTAATTCGCTAAAATATGTATTTTCATCGTTTTAAAAAATTACAATTTCTTGAAATCGTGAAAAAAAATAATGAATGGTAATTTTTCAACTTTTTTATGTGAATCTATAATGAAAATTTAAAATATGTCTTTCGTAGATTTAGATAAGTTATGTGTATGCTGAAAATTTCATCGATATCGGCCAACACATTTAAAAGTTATAAATAATTAAAATTTTCGAAAATCGCGACTTTTCATCTAATTGTAAGAACGGAACTAGTCACGTTCTTATTGTTAGATGAAAAGTCCCGATTTTCGGAAATTTTAATTACTTATAATTTTTAAATGCGTCGACCGATAAATTTTTCAAGATATTTTTAAGTAATATAAAATCTTGTTAATTTTGTTTTTAGGCCAGCGAATATACCGGAAATTCTTTGGTTCGAAGAAGAAAACGAATTGATTCGAAGCTGTGGTGTACTTTCCTCGGCACTCGGTCTCCGTAAAAGTTTTAGTACAAGCGATGTATCGCAACTACCGAGTCCTGATGCATCAGGCCCTAGCGGATTGCGCGCCGCTATGTCTGCGTTGGCTCTCGATACTGCTCAAAGAAATACTTTACTTTTGGAACATACACGCCTTGATCATACCTCAAGATCTTGTAGTACATGGGTTGCTATCGGTGAACCGGTAGCCAATACATCACAGCTTCCTAGTCCTCACGGAGGAGCTGCACAAGAACAACAAAATCAGCAACAATCTTCAAATTCACGATCGGTTCCACAGCCCCCACCTGCGCCACCACCACCGGCACCTTTTACTGGAGCCGATTTCGTGAGGTCCGTGAACAAAAAGGTTCGCCAAAATTACATACGTCGAAGGTTAGTCCAAATCATGTGTTTAATCGTTCTACTCGTTTCTACTCGTCTCCATCGTTTCTGTATAACAGTGATGCGCCGGGAGGGGGGGGCAGTGTATGGAAGTGCAAGTGGCTTGCACTTGCAGGCACTGATGAGTAAAGGAGAGGTTACGAATATGGGATATCCATTTTATTTTTCAATAGAAAAATCACGAAGAATAGAAAAAGGATTGCGTCTTGCAAAAATACGATAACTATAACCACGTTAACTATATTTACAATAGAAAAATGAAAATTCCATTTTATCCTTATTTTGTACCTGCGACTATACTTTTCATATTGAAATTTACAGGGAGATACATCATTTTTTGAACGGAAAAGTTAACAAAAAAGTGCCATATTTTAATATATTATTTAAACAAATGCGAATTTTTGAAATTCATTTTCATATTTGGATTTCTCATAAAAAAAATACATAATCTTGCGATGTACACCATCCCTCTAGCTCTGCTGGTTTCCGAGATATTCGACCAAATATGATTCTCACCCTCCACTTTGGAGGCTATTTTCACCCCCGTAACATGAATGTCAGCAGCTACAAAAAAATACGTGTCAAATATTTCCTCGAGATCTATATTATACATAAGTTTCATCAAAATCGGAAATTGACACTTCGGGATGGTCCCTTAATTAATAATGGTAATGATGGGGTAGTACTGTCCACCGCTGAACAAAAGTCTCGCAGGACGGCACAGAAGCAAGGGGGGACCCTCGTTTGCTCCGCCAGTTCCCCACCATTTGACGCTTTCGTAACGCCAACGTTTTGGTTGTTAATGTCGTACGCTACATAGGCGTAGGATTTCTCTATTTTCGAGGGTCGGGTTTTCTGACCTATCGTTAATCATTTCGTACTTGAAAAAAAAACTCAAGTGGTTTAGTTCAATTTCGAAAAAATTATTCTGTTTTAATGCAAATGCCACTACTTTTCGAATCCACTGTATGTTTACGCCAATGCTCGCCTCGCACTATGTATCTCACTCAATTTCGATACGTCTCATCGACTTTCTTCTTCACACGGTGTGAATTAGTATGCGTGATCGCTTTAGCCAATAGCTCGCGAGAACCGAAAATTCGTGTGAAATGAGGTGCTCCCTTCCATGCTGACCAATCAGATTTGTGGCCTTCTCATGAGACTTCTGTTCATCCGTTCGCAGTAGTAATATAAGACTGTCTCACATTGCTACGAATCAAGTACTGTTCGGAGATCGTAAGTTGCCATCTAATCAAATTCGTTGACCTGCCTCCAGTCACACGTATTATGTTTATTGGCCGAGGCCCTTACATCCACAAATCTATCGCGTGACGAACGTCGCTAAGGACAAACATTGAAACAGAATGAGATGAAGCGATAGCGAGCGACGATTCGGGCGCATTGACGTAAAAGTAAATTCGGGGTTTACATTATTAAGGAAACAGGAAAATTTTTCCACTTTCCATAATGTAATTTCCATAAATTTTGCATAATAACAACTGTTGTCAAGAACAAGTATTATAAAAAATCCATTAATGTCCAGAAAAAATTGCATGTTTATAAAGTTAACCGTTTGAATGCTACGGGTCTTGCTGTTTCTCCGTCCAGAAGTGCCAAGGAGCACTTTTGCGCTTGTCTTATATGTATACGCCTAATTGTAAATTAATAATAATTGCGTGTCGCGATTGTCGGCTTTGCAGCCTAGAGCGCTGGCACTTTTCGAGTGAAACAGAAGAAGCGCAAAATCACTGCTTAGAACTCAAACGGTTAATTGTACCCCACGCGAATACGGAAATTTTACGCCTATGCAATGTGACCGCTGACTTCTCAAGTTGCAAATTCCTGGAGGGGATCAGGCGGAACCAACGTACAGTCCCCTTGCCCCTCTGTTGTTCAGTTTGTGGGTGCTCGGCAACTTACGATCTCCGAACAGTACCTTATATTTCTACCAATTTGTCATTTCACTATCTATTATTATTTAGCATCATTAAAATACATATACTTCAAATACCCTTTTGTAACGTCCCGAAATGACTCCGTTACTGCGCCAGTGTAGAGGGAGAGCGGTCCCTCAGCAAGCGACTCGTGTATCTGGGATATAGGTTCGTGTGGTGCGCGGTTAAAAAGTGAAATTCAAACGTTAATGCGTTTTATCAATAGTGATTGAAATGATTGAAAGGTATTGAATTTAATTAATTAGTAATCAATTAGTCTGTTCAATAGATTCCGCCCTAGAGTAGAAATATAAAAGAAAATAATATGATTAATATTACAATAGGATTCGCTCTAAATGAAAATATAAAGAAAATATTGTTATTAAACGTAGTTGAGTATTATAATACGCTATCATTCTATTTAATTAATTAATTAATAACCTAATTAATTGAAAATAACTATAATCAATGACTTGTACGGGTCCGATAGATACTATTAAAGGAGTTTTCTCTACAGGCCGCTGATCGGTTTCTAGCAATGCTAGAGCTGTGTTCAGATTAGCCGCATTCATGGAACTCCGTTCCTTGCTAGCTCATTAAACTTAAGAGCGAACCTTGGCACCTAGGTAACACGGTTGCGAATCGTGAGTATAGTACTCCAGGTCTATCGACGTTATCCGTACTTGTTACTGATATAAAAATATTGCTAAAGAATCAACCTGGATTTCTCTGCAGCTATTGCTTTATCTAAGTGAGCTAGCGTTGAGATAACCCTTGGTCGAAACCAAGTCGAAACCGTACTTGAGCGTGGTCGAAACCAGACTGACTTTTCTCTGCGTGGCACGCCTCTACATATATTTATACTCAAAATTCTGCTGACAAAGCACTTTTTTCTACATTGAAATTTGTCCTCCTACTACTGTGCAGAGATGAGATGTTGCGGAGGTTAAGGAATGCGCGTAGGATTGGTCAGAGTTTTCTAGTCATGCCTAATTCTAAACCGTCGCGCGTTATTGGTCGAAACGTTCACATATGCTAAGCACGCCGCAAAGTCAAATGGTGTGGGTACGTGATAACGTGGGAACTAGGCAGGACAGACCAAGGAGACACTCCTTAACCTCCGCAACATCTCATCTCTGCATAGTACGTGCCTCGCAAGCATCCCCACTTTTATCACTAATGCGAGCCTCCCTACTCTTATTACTAACACGAGCGTGCACGCCATCTAATGCTACGAGGTTTTACTATAATACATTAATTATCGATTAAACATTATTTAATTCAATATCATAATTTATTCTTAAACTAAATTATCGGCGGGACGTTACACTTTGATATACTAATACTATTATTATTATAGTACAACTTAACCGTTTTGCTTTTTTAAAATTCACAAAATAAACCAAAGTAAATTTTACTTTAAACAGCAGACAGAAATTTTCTATTTCGGCCAAAAATTAAAACGTTTGTTAAACAAAACAGTGATACTTATAAGCAATGGTTGTTATGGGAGAATATTTTACTCGTCGTAATACTTGATAAACAATCCTTGTTAAAAGAGTCAATACTGTGTACAGGTTAAAACCTTGGGATCTCGTATTTCTACCCTATCCAATATTTCCACCCTCTCCTCTACTCATTGTCACTTTCTCAATTTGAATTATTTCCTACACATCTATCCCAACACCTTATCACAGCTCGTATCCTGCACGCAGGTGTTCATGAGATCTTCAGCGGGCACTTGATCTGCCCGCGACTGCTATACAATTAAGTATGAATAGAAAAGATTAATGAACATTTCAAGTAATATTGTCGATAAGAATCAATTGTAATAAATTCCGGGATGAGCTATAAGTAAAAATTTACATTGTGCAGAAGAGAACATTTAAGACAACATTGACCATCCGTTAACACTTAACTTAGATAACTTATTAGTTACAATTTATTGTTAGATAACCCTGGGAAGGAATGTTTATTGGTTTACTGCATCTAATTGATAAAAGAAACAATTAATTCTCATGAAAATTAAAAATTAAAAGCATTTTCGTGTTTTGCAGATTACTAACGACATATCGCGCTTTGGAGCGACTTTCACAAAGTGAATTCAATTTAGACCAATTAGAAGTTGTAGCGAGTGCAGCACAAACAACTTCTGGAACTACTTTATTGGTCCCCGGAGCAACAGCGGCTACTGGATCCTCGATACCGGGGCGAAAGGAACGAAATCACGCTTTGACCATTAAAGATGTCGAAAGAGAACGAGGAAATCAATTATCAAAATACGAAAGAAATATGATGATTTTTAACTGGTTACATACTCTTGATGATACTGCTGCTGTTGACAGCGTAGAATAAATGATATAAAATAACACTTATTATTTAATAATCATTTCGGTACGTTTATATTTAACCGTCCATCATCAGATCTGGGTGAATTTTAACTCTATTAAAGTATAGATAGTTTCAATGCATAGATCGTTTCGATCTCTGAATCAGTGTGTGTAGTATTCTTTCGAACTAACGTCTTCTTCGGTTAATTATTCGAACAAGTGATTTTTGTAATATATCACTGATCACAAAATTATCATCTTTATTTATGTAAAAAGTCCAAAATTACATTAAATGTTGAAACAGAGACATAAGTATTCACAAAAATTTCATATTTCTATAGTAATGAAAATCAACATCTAATTAAATCATTCTTGAATACAAAATTTTTAGCTTTTTGTAAAAGAAATTTAGAAATAGTTTTAATATACAATACGTAACAGTTTTCATAACTGTTTGGCTATAACACTTTCGTAAAAAGTATATATACACGTAATAATTTTATCTGTGATGTTTTTAACTCGCTATATTACAACCTCTGTAAAACAAATGGATACTGTAATCGTGAAATCTTGATTGAACCGATACTTTTTTTGTACAATAGTTCAAACGTTTTGATTCTGTATTGTACATGATGTTTCAGAAAATATGTATATTATGGAAACTGACAATTTTCCATATCAAAAGAAACTCCAAAGTCTTTACTGATAACTTTTTAATATAAGACTTCGTTACTAAAATATAAAATGAGTTACGAGAAAAAGAACATCTGAATATATATATATATATATCTGTTATTTGTAATGATATAGAAAAAGTTCCATAAACATGAAATTTACACGTCAAGAGCGTACAACGGGGTTAAGATTTTTTAGTCTTGGGGCTATCAAATCTTCGTGAACCGGGGAAGGGTGAAGAAAGAACACATTTTTTAAATAAAAAATTTAAATAAAATACGTAAATGTTCAGAACTTGAAATTTATTTTAAATCAAATTAAATAGCATTTAATTATAACGAAAAATAATGATTTACGAATAAATTACATTAAAAAACAAATGATGGTCCTATTGACTGAATTGCGTAAACCTATCCTTCTCTAATCGTCATTGGTCATGAAGTTTCATTATTTGTCGAAATGGATAAACCTACTAATAAATTAGCACTATCTTCTATTAGTTTTTCCGGTAAATATTTAGAATAAGGGAGCCACCTCCGATTTCGATCACCTTGAAATATGTTGTCAAGGTGGTCATTCTGAACAACTTTTTCCTATACATATAATAGTCGGACTCTTTTAGTTTTCGAGATATTTGAGAAAATAACGCGCTTTACTGTCAATATTTCCAAGAGTGAATAAATCGCAACTATGATCTCCTCTGTTGTTTTGGAGGGCTTCGGTCCCCAAACCCACCAGCCCCCACCACGACAATAACCCCAAACCCCTTTGGGACGAACTTTTTTAGGTACTTCGAAAACACATGTGGGGATTAATGAACGGAAATCAGAGGTGGCTCCCTTATTCTAAATACTTACCTTTTACCGCGGAATAATACTGCAGGAATAGAATGTTTTATTATCTATCCGTTTATTAGAAGGACAGCGAGACAAGAAAAAAAACGATACAGAGTTCAGACAAAACACACACATACCCACACACCACAGTACATAAAAATCGTAATCCGTAATCGTAATCGTATTCCGTGTTCATAAGCTTTTGGTCGTAATCGTGATCGTAAGCGTATCGTCGTATCGTGGTTCCGTAGAAATCTGCCTACCGCGCCGAGAAACGCGTCCTTAAACCGGGTATCCACTTATGCCAAACGCCCGTATCGTATTACCGTTGCCTATCCTTTTGAAGAGGCAGGCGGTGCATCGTTGCATGTTACAGCGTGCTACGGCTCGTTCAACATTTCTTCGTTTCTTGAAAGAAACGGTTCGGCAATAGGACTGGGTGACTATAGGCGAGGAGTTTCGGTTTGCTGCCTGCTGTTCCTCTGATACGGAGATACGCAATAGGCCCATCCGAAAAATTTGTCGGTTCTTTACCGTTGCATCGAAGGAAATGTTCATGCATTTGCACTAGACGTAACGATTCGTGTCGTCACTTGGGTTTCAAGTTCAATAAATTAACATTTCAGTTTATTTAAAATCTTGCGGTATTATTGGACTCATTTCAAAATCGATGAAATTATTTATGAATTTAATCTAATTTAATTAGACAAATTTTATTGTCTAAATATATTTCAACTAGCTTCGTTACCCGGCTCTGCCTGGGAATTTTAATCAACTATTATTATCCCTACTTCCTCATTCCTATCCCTACTTCCCTGTCCCTATCCCTACTAATATATAAAAGTGAAAGTGTCTGATCGTTTGTTCTTCTTCCCGTTTAATGCTTCTTTGTTAGTCAAAAACATAACGAATCGTAATATGACATAGCATATGTCCATTTTGAAAGAATAAGCTGTCCAACAGGGCAAATTTCATTAAAATCCGTTTAGCCGTTTAAACGTGAAAGAGGAACAAACGATCAGACATTTTCACTTTTATACATTAAGTAGGGAGTAGGAATTAATGCAATGTATTGATTTCGATCTCTCTGGCTTTTCGCCAACTTTTAACATCAATTTTCAGAAGTAATTATAATTCAAACTATATCGTGTTTGGTATCATTTTAATCAAAAAAATTTCATCAATACGATAGTAAAAGTTTCATTTTAAAAAAGTCAAAAATAAAAAAGTTTTATAATTCAATTAGTATTAGTCATACCGATAAGTTTCGACTCTTTTCTTTGATCATTGGATCTCTTTCTCTCTCTCTCCTCCACTGTCTATCCCTTTCTACGTTCACGCTTGGCTGGTCGTCGCGTGTAACCCGAGATTCGACACCTCGGCTGGATATATGCAACGTCTGGGTCCCAATGTTTGTTGCATATATCCAGCTTTTACTGTATTGCAAGTAGTCTAAAGATGTATTAATTTAATAATTAATCTCTCAATTTTTGTTTGACTTGTACTTATTAATCAATCATTTGTTTATTATGTCGTTAATTAGAATTATTTGAGAAGTTTTTCTAATAAAATATAAGTCTGAAGATAAATTGTTCATATTTTATTACACAGATTGTATATTAATTTCGCCACTTGTAACCTTTTGATATTTTAATTCTAGGCTAATGAAAAATCACCTTTTTAAGTATTAGTTGACCTAAAGACGTCAGGTAAGAACCTAAATTGTATCAAACATTTGAATCTTTTTCTAAATGGAGTTTTTTTTTAAATTATGCAATGCTCTAAACCAGTGCTAGGAATTACTTGCACATTTCGGGCCGATTCCTGAGGCACCGCCTGCTGTACCTCTACTGCCGCTCTAGGTTCGACTCTGGATGTGCTCCAGGCGTGATTGCGAAGCGAGCGTTTGAATTTGTCATTTCTCAGGTCGAAGTATGAAAAACAGTCCTGCGGGACGCGAGGTAACCGTTACCTCGAAGCCGCTTTGTTGACGAGCGGCAAACGGTTATGTTGCCTCGCAGAAGACCCTTCAGGTCCCGGCAAACAACCATCAGGTAAAGATTATACAAAAGGTCATAAAACCGACGCCTGGTCGACCACCCTTGATTGGGGTCGCGTACCGTTAGGCGCTCAGCACTTACAAATTACGGAATTTCCAAAAATTGTGGAAAAACCCACGGCAACTCATCGACTGCTTCACTTCTACTCTTTCACATCCCCCACCACATTTTCTCCACCAATCAGCAATAGTTCTAGGCATAGATCATTTCCATATATACATGCACTCGAAAAAAGCAGAGCTAGAACTCTGACAACTTTCACACTGATAACACTTCGGAAACATATACTCTCATCTTAATTGTATCATACAGTTAGTTATTAAATACAATTCATATTAAACAACTCACCTGTTCCCAATCATTGAACATAAAACAATTCTCGAATATTAATTTATTCGAGGATAACTGAGGCATCTGAAATCGACACAACGATCTCAAGTCGCAGTATTATACAGGTTACATCGAAACTTTGACTATATGATATTGAACAGCACCAAAAGAAACAATTATAAAATAAAAAGTGCTTTTCAGTATTTGGGCTTGTTATGTTTTAAACATCCTGAACGGTTTACATTTATTTTGCTTCTGGCAAATTCATTGTTAACGCGTCTAAAAGTTATAAGCAATTGAAATTAGTGAAAATCGTGACTAACCGACGCGCAAAAGTATGCACTTACAAATAAGTGCATTGACCGATCTCGATGAAATTTTCAGCGTACACATAACATACTTCAATTTACAAATGTCATATTTGAAATGTTAATTACAGGCTCAAATAAAGTTAAAAAGTTGCCTTTTACTATTTTTTTCCCGATTTCGACAAATTATAAATTTTTTAAAACGACAGAACTACATATCTTGTTGTTGGTAAATTAATTTGTATAGCTTCTTGAGAAACCTCAAGACTTTTGGTCCAATTTTAAATGAGGTATTCTGTTTTAAACGGTGTCCGAACACTTTTGCGCGCCACTGTATATCTACAAAATGTATGTTTTTAATTTTCATTATAGGCTCGCATATAAAAGTTGAAAAATTATCCTTCACTATTTTTTTTCACCATTTTAACAAATTGTAATTTTTTAAAACGACCAGGCACATCATCTAGTAGATTAATTACAAGCGACAAGGGGGTGATTCTACATGAAAAAATAAATCGAAAATATACAATAAAAATTTTTCATGTGAAGCTTTGTTTTCGAGAAAATCGACTTTGAATTTTGAAATATGTATTGTAACGTGGTGTCACGTGTGCCCCCCCCCCCGTTACAATCGCTGCGCTTTCCCCAACCACCCGCACCGATACACAGTAACCTACAAAAAAATCACTTTACCCCTTTTCCCACCCGCCGGTACCGGGCCGATGGAGGCGACGGAAGGAACCCCAACAAGTTGCCACCCCTAAAAGGAGTTTCGACGCCGGCGACAGCACCACCCCTCCCAAAAAAGGGAAGCCAAGATGGACAGAGAACAACCGTCCACAAGCCCAACAACGGCGGAAAAGCAACCCTAATGGAGCCATCTGTCACCAAGCCCGAAGACTACAGCCCGCAGCCAACATCATCGAACTTCCGTCAGCCCCATCGATCCGGATTACCGGCTCATCGATCAACGATCGATTCCCGAAGCCGGAAGATGGCCCATTTTCCTCACCCCAACCCCTCCTTAAAATTATTCCATGACGGGCTCCTCGCCTTGCAGCACGGAGGTAACTCTGCCGAACCTTCCTGTTGGCCATACAATCGTCACCACCGGGCCTCCGGTCTTTGAACGCCCTCAACGGTGGGATGGAGAGCGCCTGGCCGCAGCGAGGGAGGAATTCACTGTCCTCCTCGGCAGAGGTATCGTGCGACCATCTTCATGCCAATGGGTCAGCCCTCTCCATCTGGTTCCGAAGAGCTGGCATGCAACCGGTGACTATCGTCCCCTCAACGCCTGTACGACGCCGAATCGATACCCTCTGCCGGTCGTAGAAGATCTGCTACAGGAAAGCCAAGGTCAGGTATACAGTACCATTGACCTCCAACGGGTCTTTTATCAAATACCAGTGGCAGAAGAAGACATACCGAAGACAGCCGTTATCACATCTTTCGGCCTCTTCGAATTTCTGGGCATGCCGTTTGGACTCAGAAACTCTGTCCAGACTCTACAACGGACGATGGATAATATCCTACGAGCACTTCCATTTGTGAAATGCTATGTAGATGATCTGATTATAATTTCTAGATCACACGAGGAACATCTGCAACATCTTAAACAATTATTGGAAACACTCCGATCAGCCAGGCTCCGAATCAACCTGGACAAATATGTTTTTGGCAAACCGCAGGTTAACTACCTTGGCTACGTGGTCTCTAACGATGGTTTCCAGCCTCCTCCTCGAAAGGTTCAGGCCATCGAGGACTTTCCCAGGCCGGAATTTCCAGCAGACCTTTGCCGCTTTCTGGGGATGCTCAACTTTTATCGGCAGTGCATTCCTCACGCCGCAGCTCTTCAGGCTCCTCTCCACGACCTTCTCAAGGGCAACCTAAAAAAGACAAAGAGTCTTAGCTGGAATTCCGAGGCGGATATCGCCTTTCAGCTTTGCAAGGTTAGCATTGCCAAAGCTGCCTTCCTCTCTCCAACGGCTCCATTGCGCTTGACAACCGATGCATGACAAACATTGCTATCGGTGCGGCTTTGGAGCAGCAACAACCTGACGGCGAGTAGAGACCCATAGGGTTCTTCTCTCGTAAGCTCTCGGATACCGAGGCGCGGTACAGCGCCTACGACCGGGAACTGTTGGCCGTTTTTGCTGCAATCAAATTTTTCGTCCCTCGAGGGACGGCCTTTCACGGTCCTCACGGACCACCGTCCGTTAATCTATGCCGCTACGCAGCGATCCGACAAGGCCTACCCGCGCCAGGCTCGACAATTAGATTATATTTTGCAGTTTAATCTCACCTTTAAACACCTCAAAGGCCTGGACAACGTCGTTGCTGATGCGCTCTCGCGTGTCGAAACCGTCGACATGCCGTCGTCTCTCGACACCACGTCAATCAGAGCTGCACAGGACACGGACCCGGAGCTTCCGCATCTTTTGGACAACCCGCGGTTCCGGCTCCTCAGCCTCGAGGTTGAGGGTCAGCCAATCTGTTGTGACGTTACTGCCTGTGTCATCAGGCCGGACATCCCTTCGGCCCTTCGCCGAGCTGCTTTCGACTCCGTTCATAGGTTGGCCCATCCTAGCGGCAGAACCACGACGCGCCGAGTTGTCGAGAAGTATCTTTGGTCTGGGATGCGAAAAGATGCCCTCCGTTGGTCTCGCCAGTGCGAGCCGTGCCAGCGGGCGAAGATCCATCGGCACAACCGAACAATGCGAACTAAAGCGCTCTGGGCGCTTTTGCAACTCCGGACAACCGATTCGACCACATTCATGTCGATCTAGTCAAGCTGCCTCTCGTCCAGGGTTACCAGTACTGCTTGACCGTCATTGATCGATTCTCTCAATGGCCCATGGCGACACCTATTCAGAACATCCAGGCAACGACGGTGGCTCAAGCCCTATTTGACCACTGGATATGCTTTTTCGGTACGCCCCTGACAATTACGTCAGATCAGGGTACACAATTTAAAACGGCGCTTTTCACGGCTCTGGCTCAGCTTGTTGGCGCAAAACGAATCCGCACCACACCATACCACCCACAATCTAATGGTATGATGGAAAGGTTTCACCGTTCCCTCAAGGCCGCTCTCATGTGCAGCCCGGACACTCCGTGGCTGAATCTACTTCCGTCGATTCTTCTGGGTTTGCGTACCGCATTTAAAGAAGACCTCCAGGCATCTCCGGCAGAGATGCTATTCGTCATGACGTTGTGGGTTCCCGGCGAGTTTTTCGTGACGGAGAATGTACCAGCGAGTCAGCCGGAGTTCGTTTCCAGCCTGAGGCGCCTCTTTCGGGCAATTAGGCCTGTGCCAGGTTCTCGGTACACCCAACACCGGCCCTTCACGTTCAAGGATCTAAGGGATTGCTCCCACGTTTTCAGGAGGCTGGATACAATCCGCATACGTTTGGAGCCTCCTTATTCCGGTCCTCACAGGGTTGTTAAACGCCTGAACGATAAGGCGTATATCATCGAGGTTGACGATGTAGAAAAAACGGTGTCGGCCGACGCCCTTAAGCCGGCGTATCTGGAGACTGCGGATCCACAGCCTCCGACGCCGAACCGGTCCTCTGCACCAGTACAGCTTCCAACGCCAGCACAGCCCTCGACATTATCACAAACACACACAATACCTGAGACTCGGCCTGATTCTTCAGCACAGGCCCGACAAACTACCCAGTCTCGTCCAAGAAGAGTCACTTTTGTGGACGAAAACTATAACCAGCTTCCATCTTCTTCTCTGAGAGGAATTTCGTCCCCTTCGCTTCCAGCGATGGGTACGGGGGGGGGGGGGGGGGGGGGAGCTGTGGCGCCCTCGATCCTCGCGCCATCTAGCGGTCACAGAAGGAAGCAAACCTTCCAACCGCGCCCTCTTTTCTAGGGTGCTCGAGGCCTGACGCCCTCGCTTCAACGCACCCCCATTTTTCCCTTTACTCACTCTGTACTTTTCCGGCGAAGCGATCGGATGTAAAAGGCACGCGTCTTTCCTACTTCCATCGCCATCTTGGATATCGCGAGTCTTTGTTAATGAAAAGTATCACAACGTAATCATTCCATCTTGTGTTTTATTTATTCTCTGACATTAGTGTGGTGCCCGCGCAATCGCATCTCGCGTGGCCCCTAAATATGTATATACAATTTAAATTAAACTGACACCATGTAAGGTTTAATAACATAGCACAGGAGAGGTGGAACAAAGTGAGAACAAAAATAATTTTTAACAAAAAAAAACCGACTTCGAAATGCACTGAAAAGTGTAAAATAATTTCTATTTCATTTATACCAGTATTCCACAACTATTAAGGACGCCTAGGGCCGTAGTTTAAGTAAGTTATAAGCGTAAAAATAAATTTAGTCTTTCCACCTAAATCCAACCGGCTTACTCATTCGTTTGAACCCCGGACTTACAGGCTGAGTCGGCAAGCCTCCGGCGGTAACCCGTCATAAGATTTTTGGAGAAAACGTATAGAGCGAGTAGCGCGTTAACGTGTGTGAGTGAGAAAGATGCAGCACCGATGAGTCTCTAAGATTCTAATAATTGTGATTCTGAGCTCCAGTCACGGTACCTTCTTCATCCGCTCGTTTATACTCCGCGATTTCGTCGTACCCCCCTTTTTTCCAATCTCCTTTAAATTTCCCTTATTTCGACCCCTACTCGACGCGTAACGTAAAGGAACTTTCCCGTGAGATTTCCCACCCTGAGATTTCCCCACCCTAAACTATCCTCCTCGCGTACTCCCCCGCGAAGTATTGTTACGGCCATCCCAAAAGTGCCGAGAAACCCGTCTCCTGTAATAACCCCTTATTGTCTCCCAATTCCTCCTCGCCACGAAACGTGGCTGGCGCCCAACGACATTAAAGTTACAGCATTCTAAAAAAGTATTATAGAGTGAACCCCCGAAAGGGTCACATCGTATAACTTACGAACGGCGACAGATAATCGAATTCTGCAAGTTGTGCTGAATTGTGCTACTTACAATCTGCGAGATACGTGCGTTAAAAGTTGATATTAGCTTGAATGTTAATAAAAATTAACAAAAAAGGGTGGGGATGATTCAAAAATTTGAGATTTTCGAATTTTCTTTGATTGTGCCGGATTGTGCTAGACTAGCACAACAACTTTTCCTAATGACAAAATTTCGTCTAACAAAGTTGATTCTATTAGTTCAGCAGTAATAATGATTCTCATAATCATTCACATCTGCAAACTAATAATCGACACAATCATAAGGGGATATACACTATACACACTATACGGATGGTCCCTACAGCTACTGGGAGCCATCTTCAGCTCAATCACATACCTATTGGTAACATTAAAGAACAACAAAAGCTGTTGAACAACTATAAGAGGGAAAGACACAAAATTATTTGACTATGGCATCAACAAGCACAAGCATTGCACCTGTAATACCCATCAGGAGAGAAATTAGGTTGACTATTTCCACAGATGCGAAATTTTGGACGCCTGTCTACGCCGTCCTCGTAACAGGAGCCAATATACCTGCTGATGACGCCGTAACCACATGCATTTGCTGGCTTTTTGGAAAGAGGCCGGCCTTTGTTGAAGCCCTGACTATAACCGATGAGGCCACTCTGCAGAAAGCAGCCAAAATCCAGGAGGATAGCTCCAAGGACCAATATTTAGCTTTTATAGCTATGGCGGGGTTAATGACGCTAGGACAAGAGATAAGGACCGGGAGTGATGCCAATAAAGAGTATTTCGAAAAAAGGTGGAAGGCACTTTGTGCAACGATTTGTATAAAAGACGTCGTTAGCCCCAATATTAATGCACTGCTCGACGCATGTATCGCGTGGCAAACATGGATCAAGCCCAGGGCAAACGTGAGGATGGCACTATTACTGTGGACCACTGAGATATTCTCTGAGATGAATCCTCTTTACAAGGCAGTAATAGAACAAGTGCGAATGGTCCTTATTAATTACGGACTAAAGTCTATTTTGATGATGGAGGCATTCATCGCCTCTCACAACAGGGCTCTAGAGCTATCATCCATAGCCATGCAGGCTAGAGAAATGACAATAAAACTCAAAGAGTTGAGAAACTTGCATGGTCCCAGTTTCTAATTTCTTAAGTTGGTACCCCTCGAAGGAGCCGACGAACTGAATCACAGGAATTACCCTGACTTATATTACGCAGTCATAAGAACTGCCTCATAAGACAAAGCATTGGGGCTCCCGGGAAGGTATAAAATGACTAAAGTAAAAACGACCATGCCAAAACCTCTCATAGAAGAATACGCTGATAACGATCCACGAAAGGGAAGAGGGATAGATGCAAGAACAAAAGAAATCTTAAAAGAGCTTGGGTATCACATTTATGAGGCCGAGAGCGAAGAAGAGGAGAATGAGCCCAGGAGAAAGAAACGAAAGGGAACCAAATGAACAAAAGCACAACCATGGCCTGTATCCTTGGAAGAAAAAAAAAACCCGACTTCTCGCCCAGGCAAGGAACAGCTCCTTCCTCGGCGTACATGTCAGTATGTCAAGTATCACGTCCGTAATCAAAGTGTTTCGAACAAGAAAATGTTTCGTTCAAGTGACAATACCACCGAATCGACGGGGATATATATCAAATACCCCACCAGGTGCACAAAATTTCCAAGCAACCATAGGACACTAAACCGATGGAGCACTTGACAATACTCGGAACCAGCGCATTCAAGACACTCGCTATCTCAGTGTATACCCTCCACAATAGAGGATCCAAGAATCACCAATTTCATTCTAGAAACTCCAAATTTAAAATTTAATAAAAGAAGCCCAGAAGTGTCAGTCTACAATATTATTCAATACAGGCACTATAGCTCCGTTACGCACCCCTACTGCTTCAATCTCAGCGGCGAGGGAAGTAAATGATCAACTGAAACTATTTACTCTTGATAACACATCGATTAGTAAAAGTACAAAGAAGTACTAGCCAAAAAATTACCCAACGCAACAAAATCACGCCAACTAACAAAATATTGTAATTACACTCATCTCAAAATTGTAAGATTCATTTAACTCATAAAAACACAAACTATGAATTTGGATAACATAATTGCTCTATAAAATCCTTACAAATTTATTTATTGATGTAGGAGTGAGACATTTGACGTGCGATGGCCGTTGCCATGCAGTGCTTTCCAGAAGGTATAGGATTGTTCCCGAAAAATCTAGAAACGAAAAACAAATAAAAAGCGCGGAGGCAACGGGCCTCAGAACATTAGTTGTCGAGCCGTGAACGCGAGCGGACGTTATTCGATGTATTCTTTTAAACATTATAATTAAACATTTTTTCACTTTAAATGAGATTTTCGACCCTCTGCCCGTCCCAATCCTACATTGATATCATACCGATATGCAACAATTTAGGCGGCCAGATATCACGTCCTGTGACTCATTCTTTAAACCCCTATTTCACCATCCAAATTTATCATTCCGCAAATTCTGAGTGAGTAGTTCATTCAGGTCTATCCCCTTTAATAGCACAATAACTGATGTACCTTTGTCCTCGACTACGGTTGCTGCTGCTGTTTCTAAAAATACTCCAACCTCTATAGAGTTATCTAGTATGCTTCCAGAATCATATCTTTGTCTCTCTTTAGTGAAGGATTTGATACTTCAGTTTGACTGCAAATCCAGTTCCCTGACTGAATTTATTAAGGAGTGTCAGCTGATTAGTTCCAAAGTAAAACCTGAGGATAGAGCCGGTCTTCTGTTTTTAATTCGTGGTACAATCGTAGGGCATGCAGAATTAATACTTTCAAATCGCCGGGAACCAAATACATTAGACGAGTTAATTGGATTACTTAAAAAGGCATACGTGCGTTCGTTTAACATGCATAGTATTAACGAGGAATTTATGGGATTGAAACAGGGAACTAATGATTCGGTAGAGGTTTTCGGATCGCGAGTATGTAAAATATTAAATACCGGAATAGAGGTAGCCAAGGACACGTACAATTCTGAACAGTTAAGCGGTGTTGTTGATTTATTGAACAATACAGCTATAGCTACATTTATTAACGGCCTTCGGAACGGAATGTTAAGAATAATGCTTAAAGACAAAGATAGTAAAGAAATACCGGATCTTGAAGATGTTATTGACATTGCGCGTAGATTAGAATCGGTAACGGTCGAAGGATCAAGATTGTCTCCATCTTCGCAGCCTCTTATCGGGAACGCGAATGTCCGTAAAATAGATTTCGATGACCGCCGATGTTTTCAGTGTAATAAAGTGGGACACTTGCGAAGTCATTGTCCCCAAATTCAAGAAACGCGATGAAATCCTTTAAGACAGGAACAAATTAGATGTTGGTATTGTAAAAAAACCGGTCATATGGAAGCGCGTTGTTTTAGGAAACAAGGCCAAAACTCACCTCAGCCTCAAGGTGTTTTTTCTCGTAAAATCACGGATCAGGGACATTTAAACTCAAAGGGCGTTCCACGTCGGGGAGTCGCGCGGAACGAACCGTGGATTGCTCCCTTCAAACCCGTTGGGCCTGCTCCCAGGTCGAAATAAAAAACATTGGGCATTCTCCGGTGATAAAATTGATTCACAGCTGTTTCCATGGAGGATCTGCTGACTTCCTCATTGATACAGGCTCACAATTGAATCTAATAAAACACAAGAGAATAGTTTCTAATGTAGAGATAAACACTAGTGTCGTTTACAATCTCACCGGTATTGGTTCAGGAGGAGTGTTTACCTGCGGAGAGATTAACGTCAAAGTTCGTGACATTAACGTTAAATTCCAAATTGTTCAGGATGTTTTCCCCATCGCCGAGGCAGGAATTTTGGGAATACCATTTTAAGAAAACCAAGATGCGGTATTAAGATTCGGAAATAGTATGCCAAATAGCCTACAGATTGATGACGAATTTTTTGTTCTCTCATCATCTTCTTTTAAATTGTTTCCTCGTACGAAGACACTCATATCCGTCCCAATTAAGGAATCTAAAACCGAAGTAGCTTACATAAGGAGACTAATTACAGATCCAGGTGTTTATATAGGAGAAGCTTTAGTCACACAACGGAATGGGTTTGCAAAAATTTTCGCAATCAATACTAATCCCAATTGCGTAAATGTAACCATATCACCGGTTGAGTTAGAAGAATTTTCGGAAAGCTCATTATTACCCCGTTCAGGTTGTGCAACAGATTCAAAGTTAAGTCGGGAAAAAGCCAATGCTCACAGGTTGGTTCAAATAGCTGAACTTTTAGAACTGAATGATCTCAACGAAGTCGAACGTGCTAGCATCCTGGAGATTATCAATGAATTCCATTTGCCGATAGAAAAACTAGGTTCCACTAAAGTTCTTCATCATGCAATCGTGACAACAGATGAGATTCCGATTAATACTAAGCAATACCGTTTTCCACCTATTCATAAAGAATAGATACAAAAACAAGTTACTTCAATGTTAGAAAATAATGTAATTCAATCATCTGCCTGTCCTTATAATTCACCGGTTTGGGTGGTCCCAAAGAAACCCGGTCCTTTAGGTAAACCACGTTGGCGTATGGGCATAGATTATCGTAAGTTAAATGAAAAGACAATTAGTGATGCTTATCTGCTTCCCAATATCACTGATATATTAGATCTATTTGGAGCAGCTAAGTATTTTAGTATTCTTGATCTGGCATCTAAATTTTCTTTCTTTATGCCTGGAGGTCGAGCGTCATAAAAAGTATCGGATCAGCATTACACGTGAATTGGTATAGATTCTATGCGAACGGCCACTCGGTTGTTGAACTTGTAGATGTGGTGTTCACCCCATCTCTATTCTTCTCCCTGTTTTCCTTATTTCCTTTCTTTCTTTCCTCTGTAGTTTTTATGATTTCAATAGGAAACGCCTCCATCCCGCACGGTTTCGAACTCCGTAAAGAGGCAGTTTATTCGAAACCACGGAAGAGCAAACATGCCAAAATACAAAAATATACGTGTTATGTTGCGTGCTATTGACGAAGCGGGACGAAATTATACTTTAACTCGTAAGATTTATCGTGATTTAGTGCGGAACAATGGGAGACGATTACACCCCAACGAAATTCCTGATAGACGAGATTTTGTGCGACTGGATTATCAATTCGGGGAGCAGGAAATCGTGATGCAGCTTACTACAAGACGTAACGGAGCAGGTCGACCTCAAGTGCATTGGCAGAAAGAAGAAAAAGTTATAGCTCTCGCAAGAGCTTATCCAGTGATGGGGTTACGGAGCATCGCGAGAAGAGTAGGAATCTCGCACATGACAGTGCGGCGTATAATACGCGAAGAAGGTCTGCGACCATATAAAATTCGACGTGTCCAAGCCCTACGCCCTAATGATTATGCCACACGGCGAGAATTTTGTAACTGGATGGTACATAAACTGCGACACGATCCACGCTTTTTGGAACGTGTCCTATTCACGGATGAGAGCAGCTTTTCGAATAGCAACATCCTCAATCGGCAGAATCCAAGGATTTGGGCGTACCGCAACCCCCATGCGATGATGGAGCAATTTAATCAAGGAAGATTCACCGTTAATGTCTGGGCAGGCATCATTGGCAACCATATTATCGGCCCGATCTATTTGCCGACACGGTTAACCAGTGCAACATATCTTCAATTTCTAAGATCGAAACTCTTGAGTAAACTGCGGCACATCATTCCGCGAAGTCAACGTAATTCAACCTATTATATGCACGATGGTGCTCCATCGCACTCCAGTCGAATGGTGCAATAATTTTTAAATCAAATGTTTGGATCGCGGTGGATAGGACGAAGACCTGCTCCCCATGTGTGACCTCTCCATTCACCGGATTTGACACCACTGGATTTCTTCCTCTGGGGAGCCGTGAAAGACATCGTTTATCGCTCAGGTGAGGAAATTACATCGGTCCCACAATAGAAACGTCGGATTGAATATGCATTCAACCAAATTAAATCCACTCGTAACATCGGCGAGAAGATATCAAGGAGTATGGAGCAGCGTGTGCGTGCATGTTTGTGCAATCATGGTGGTCACATCGAAGCGAGCACGCAGGCACGGCTTCTGCGTACGATTCGTTACAACGGTGCAATCCTTTGGGTACGCAGAAGAAATAGAAGGTAACAGCATTAAGTAAGTGTGTTTGAAATAGAATATTATAAGTAAAAAATATTTCTTATGTGTGAGAAAAAGTGTAACCGTCTTAAAACTTTTTCAGCGCCTTTTGCAGAACTTTTGCAGAACGAGCCAGAGCAGCTATCATTTTAACGGTGGCTACACTGAATGATTCATTTCATGCGTTTCCGAAGGCATGTAGAATCACATGAACGAAACATGCTCCAATTTACTAATTGCGTGTTACACTTCCTCTTATTTCTTTTGACGATTCTTTTAATATTAGTATACATCTGTGTACGAATGTTATATAATTGTTGCTGTTCCAGTTAATAGGTTGGGTATACTTCCGAAAGGCTCCCCCCCTTAAGACAACCAAACTTTGCATTTATAGTAATTGAGGGACGAGAAATCGAATGAGCCCATTTTCAGAACTGGCAAATAAACCGTTCTCGAGATATAGGGTATACCCCCCCCCGAGTAATAGTTATACTAATGTGCTATTACCACAGTAATATAAAAGTAGTGTTCTTACATTTTCAATAACAAATCGCGTTCCTTCAGATTTTTTGTTAGGTTTTTCATTTTTTACAACTACGATTTGCAATGAAAAAGTCTGAAAAAATTCCCTAATATGCGCTACCAAGTTTGTAGTGTATCAGAATTTTTTCACAATTTTTGGATGTTACTAAATAGAAGAAATGAGGCACCATCTGGCGTCTATTTTGCTCCCATCACTGCTCCCCTGGTTAAGATAGGGGGTTGAAAATTGATGTACAGTATTTTCTTTTGATATGCTATCGAATGACGCATTCTGAATTTAATTTGGTTCAAGGGCCATTTTGCCTACCATACCCGGGTATACCCTTTGGAGAGGTCATTTTCAAAGACTGCAAGTTTCCAGATAATCCGTTTTCCGTCGATTGCGCTGAGTGGTGGGGGAAAAAGTGGGGCTGGGTAGTGAAAATTCAACAGATCAGCTTTTAGGGAAATTGAGCAGAGCATTCCTGCGTCAGTAGTCGTAGAAGAAAACAATCTTTCAAACGTGTCAAGTTCAGTGTCTGGAAACAGTTTTACCGTAAGTGAAAATTTTATTTTATCAGAAATATGTGTACTTATGGAAACCACTCACCCTCATTTTTTTTTAAAACATAGTATTCTTACGTTTTTTTTATATGCTGATTACGAATATCAGTGAAAAGTTGGAGACTATTTGGTCATCGTAAGGCGGCTGGCAACACTTTCGTGAAATAATAACAAATTCTTTGAACAACATTATTATTTGCAAATTCTTATGGCGGCGACGCGTTAAAAAATGAAACGTACAGTGAGTCCAACAAGTGTGCGCACACAGTTTACACGTTGACTGCCGAGGGGGTTACCGGTGACCGGCATCGCAAATTACACGCACTCCAATAATTAAAAGAAAACGATAGAAAAATATTATTTTCAATAGTATTGTTATTATACTAATAATGTAAAGTATCAAATTAAAAGCTTGACATTTGAAATTTGAAAATTGATTATTCCTATTCTTAATAATTAGAACTTCGTAACAAATGCCCATTTTCACTGCGGCAGTCAACGTGTTGAAACAGAATACCTAATTTACAATTCAACCAAATAACTTGAGGTTTTTCGAGAAGCTATATAAATTAAGTTACTAAGATATGTGCTTTTGTCGTTTTAAAAAATTACAATTTGTTGAAATCGTGAAAGAAAATACTGAAGGGTAATTTTTCAACTTTCTTTATGTGAGCCTATACTGAAAATTTAAAATATAAGCTGAGACCACGCAGGTGAGCTTGATAAAAATCAGAGCGTCCTAGAACAAAATCCTTACACGCCGACGAAGAGTTTGGTGTTGTGTCTTCTCCCCCGTGCGATGATTGGTTCGCCATGAGCGGGATTGCTCCGGCCCGTCTCCCCTTGGTAAGGAGGTTGAGTTGGGTGGTAGGTAATTCAAGCGCTATGCGCCATCTAACACGGCCGGTATAAGCAAAAAGCTTCGGAACGGCAGAGCGGGTTTCCCAACCCCACAAGGCTCTTTACTGACAATAACCTACAATCATCCTCCTACGCGTAACGTAACGAACTTCCTGAGAACCCTTCCCAACCCTGAGACCTCCCTTCCCCCGACAATCCTCCTCGCGTACTCCCCCGCGAAGTATTGTACGGACGTCCAGGAAGTGCCACGAAACCCGTCCCCTGTAACTCCCAAATCTACGTTCCTCTTCTTTAGATGCCACGAAACGTGGCTGGCGCCCAACGAGTAATCGAGACTCCTAATTGCGATTGTAACGATTATAAATTTTGTGCATTGAATAAAGTATAGAGTGAACCCCCGAGAGGGTCACAATGCATGAATCAGAAGGGCGATGTGAACCGTCGGTAAAACTTTGACGGACGATTTCTCTTTGCAGACGGGCTCACCTTGAGCGACGTAGAAAATCGTGTAATTAACGAGACTATTGAGAGAGCCGAATCTGGCGGTTTTTCACTCGTGATGCATGAGTCTAAAAACCAGTTAGAAAAGAGTTTAAAAGAAATAACTAAGGAGAATACGATATCTAAAACGAGCACGGTCGGTAATAGAAACCAAAACGACAGACAGACCGCTGCTGAGACAACGAGTGATCCATCTGGATCAGGTAATATAACTTTTTGACGACAGTATAATAACGACAGTATAATAGCGACAGATAACGAATGAAATAAAATAAACGACAGTAACGGACCTGTTAGTAAGGTGTCAATTTTTACAGATGAAAAACGAAACGAGGGCTCAGACTTAACCAATTTTAGTGAAAATATTACGAAGATGGTAACCGCTGTGACAGAATTGTGAAAAACGACAAACCACACAATGACGACGGCTATGCACATTATTAACAGCATGCACATGAATTTTGAAAAAGAAACAAAATTCATGCGGTCGCATATTCGAGAAATGGGACAAACTTTAGCTTCCTCTCAGGTTATTGAGAAAGGAAACGATGAAGATCTCGAGTTGCCGGAAACTAGTGAAAATGCCGATCAGACTGAACACATGCCAAATACAATTCAATTAGGAAATATTCCTAGAAATGACTTAACTTCAATATTAACGGACGTAATTAGAAATCTTAGATCTTCAAATTTAAACAACTCCAATGAAACAAATTCTATTGCCAAAGAACTGAAAGAAACGATCAAAAAAAGAAATTAATAAGCAAAGACTCTGGGACGAAATGGGTTTCCATCCTGATTCTAGCGTAATAAGCGCATCGCGTACCGCAGCCAACACCCCCCGGGGCGTGAAAGTGTTGTTTTTAACGAATTTGGTGAATCGCTTAGCAAGCATGGACAGTGCATCCAAAGAATCGCATAAAAATGAAGGTGAAGATATCAACTTTAGATCTGTTGATAAACCCAAAGGCAAGAAGCCCATCAAGCGTGGGCCGCCTAGGGAGAAGAAAGTTGGACTTAGTCCAACTGTTACACCTCCATTGCCTCGGCCTGAAGAGGGGAGGCGCGCTTCGGATGTCGTCCGCCCAAGCGCAGTTGCCACACCGCTGAAGAACGATCCCATGTATGATGAGATCGACTAAATTTTCAATAACTAACGAGTCATACTTACCTCTAGTTGATAGAGAGTATGACTTACGCGCTGCCACTGACAAACGCTTTTCCGTTATCGTCCCAAAGTCGGCTTATCGGTACGTGATGATGGTGCATCTCTACGCGCGGTATGCAGAATTGCGTAGCCTACGTGGGCAAGCAGAACGCAATGAAGATAGTTTATTAAACTACTTACGCGGGAAAGCCTACATTCTACCACCTGCTATCGATGCGTATCTGCGCAGCATTGGTGATTTCACCGATGCAGCTGGGAGACACTATCGGTTCGATTTCCCTGCATGGCCGAATGAGACCGGAGATTTTGGACGTGTATCCAATATGACACATTGGAAATACATGTCATATCCAGCACCTAGAGTGTTTGCTCTCGCTGTAGTCGCTAATTTGCGATACACGACTGGAGCCGACGCCAATAGAGACGGGAATCTTCCGGTTGATTTGCGACCCCAGGCACCGCCTGAACACCCACAGCCGCTTCCTGGCTTGATAAAAAAATCTATGTGGTAACATTTTTCGGGTGGTTTTTCAAGACAAAAATCTACTCTATCGTGTGGTATAATTCGATTTTACGCTGAACCTCTACTTTTTCAGATAAATTGAAAAATATCCTAAAAAATTGGTGCCAAATCGAGTCCCTCCTTGTTCAATGATCGTTTAAACATACTTAAACATTTATAATGTATTAAAAATAGGTATCGTTGTATTCAGGAAAGCCTACAAAATCTTTTAGTGTAAATAGAATTTCAATGTCTTTAACAATTACGTCAGAAAATTTGTTTAAATCTGAAAAATATATAGATTTTTTCAAAATCAAATTTCTCAAAAACTGTACGTACAGGAGCAAAATGGTTTGCAGATTCGTAATCAGTGTACAAAACACTATAAGAATCGTCTGGTGGGAATCGGAATACAAAAAAAGTTAAAATTCGTTTTCGAGTTATTAACGAAAAACACCGGCCAATCACAGCGCGCCTTCAGCGCGGGTCGAGATACTGATGACACTGCCTGACAAATTTCATTTGTATCTATTTTACAGCAAGCTCTTTTTATACGTTCTTGCATGTCAAATTTGGTTGTTAGTTTTTCGCGGTACACTTCCTTCTTTAACTTTCCGCACAAATAAAAATCTAGAGGTGTCAGGTCTGGGGATCGTGCTGGCCATTTGTTATTTCCTGATCGACCAATCCAGCGAACTCCAAATTTTCTGTTTAGAAATTCTGTAACATTTCGTGCTGAATGAGCAGGACATCCGTCTTGTTGGAACCACATGGATTGCCGTATGTCCAGTGAAATGTCCTCGAATAAATCTGGCAAAACGTCTACTAAGATTTTCTCGTATTTACGACTGTTTAGCGTGCCATCAATAAAATATGGACCAATTATTTTATTATGAAGAAGGCCGCACCATACGTTTACAGACCAAGGTCTCTGTTTGTCCTCTTCTCTCAGCCATCGTGGATTATCTACTGACCAGTAGTGCATGTTGTGACGGTTAACTGCTCCGTGGTTTGTAAATGTGGCCTCATCCGTAAACAAAATTTTATTCAAGAACATTTCATCATCTTGCAGTTTTTGTAAGCCCCATTCCCAAAATTGTAAACGTCCGTGGAACGTGGGACAAATCTTTACCCTCTCCACGACGTCCCACGACGTCCCAGTGACTCCCCTACCGCAGTTGTTTCATCTAACACAAGCGCGTTGTCCTACGTGTCCGTGTGAGCTCTGCGGGTTTGGCAGAGTTCGGCTGCTCTCGTCATTTCTACGTTATCGGCTCGATGCTCAAGTCGCTAAAGCACGTGGCAGCAGCATCGACGAATCGACAAAATAATATAATTTCGTCCATGGCAATATGGCTGAATTAAGAAACCAGAAGAATCAGTTCGAATCCCGATTTTACGGTTTCAGTTCTGATTCTTAATACATTAACGTTTTTCTAATACATAAAAATACATTTTTAATACATTAATACTATGAAATACATTAACTTGGAAAGCAGTTAAAAAAAGGAGTTGAACTGCATCTGTTGCGTATTTAGCGTGGTCAGCGCGGTCAGAAATAACACACACACCAGCGTAACGATTACAATAAATATATTTACACCGACAAGAGTATTTACAAAGCGTTTACAAGCTCCTTACAGAGAGCACACGAAATTATATACAATAATTACAAGAGTACACTGGGCGGGCACTAACAAATAACGAGGATAATATTATTGCGTGGACACGGCGTGGTCGGGAATTGTTGTACTAGCAATCGCGTACTGAGCTTGATCGAATACAAAGCGTGGTCCGGCGTAACACGTGCGTCTACTAGAAGCGTTCGATCAAGAAGAAGGAAATCAATTATGGCGTCGATCGTGCCGGCTCCGGCTTGGAGAGGGGACCGCGTGGACAAAGTGGGTCCGAGAGGTGCTGCCGCTATCGGTAACGGCGCACCAACGAAGTATTTTCGTTGCCAACTTCGTCGTTCTGCGTAGACATGGGGAATTTCGCCAACAGCATCTTTCTTTGATATTTATTTAAATATTTAAGTTTTATATGTATACATACGTATGTACGTACATATGATAAAAGTACGTGATACAGAAGTAATTTCTTCAATTAGATATTACTGTTATTCTAACTATTACAATACGTAAATCCGCCGACATACGAGGAAAATTGGTTAGGTTGAAGTGTAAGGATATAAAGATTTTTCAATCTTTAACGGTTTGTTAGTTTTATTTCTTATTCCTTACAACTATTATAATTTTATTCTCTGAATGGTCATTACAATGAAGGATGGATTAGATACAATTTGATTCCTCATTTAATTTGTTATTTACATATCAGGTGTCTTGCAACTATTGCAACTGGTCCACGCTTATACGATATTGCATATTTTACTTTCCTATAATACAACAAGGAAACAAAACTATAATATAGTGATTACCATAATACAATAGAAAATGTTAAGCTCGCTATAAACCTTATGTTTTTTTTATGTACTTATGCTGCACTTTCGCTTCGTTGCTTTATAATGACTAATGACTGATTTTTCTTTTGAATGAAACTTCCACTAGCGTATTGATGAAATTTTTCGATTAAAACAAGATCAAACACGACATAATTTGAATTATACTTACTTTATATATTTGCATTAGGTTTTAAATAAATAAGTAAATATAATGCAGATTATGTCATGTTTGGTCTTATTTTAATCAGAAGAACCTTACAATTACATTGGTAAAAGTTTCATTTAGTAAAAATCAAAAATAATAAAGTTATGGTTGAATTAATATTGTCTCACTCAATTGTTTTTTTTCGGGCCCTTTATGTAATTCTCGGACCTCTTTCTTTTTCGTTATTTGTCCTTTTCTATGTTCGCCAGCATTCAAGAACTCGCTCGAGCTGTCTCGTTCTGCCAGGGTCACATTTTCGTTACCTTTTCATCGAATATTTGGGCGTAACGCTAAATCAAGAGAGTCCAGTATAATAACACATTCTATGCTGAAAGAATATACCAAGTTATCTGTCTAAAAAAATTTTAATAAATCTGACAACCGATTTATTTTTGGACTGCTTTTCTTAAGTAACCAGCATTTTACCAGTCTCCTGTACGGATTGTGTGTAGCAATTTGTAGCAGAATAACTTAACATTTCGCATAATAGAAATAATTAGATCGTACAAATAAAATAGGAACCAAATTTCAACCACATGGGTTACGCCGATATCCAACAGATCAGCGAGGTTAAGCTAACGTTGACTGCGGTTCACAGAAAGATGGGTGAAAACGCCGCCCCTTGCTTGCTTGTGGTTTTTATATTAGCAAAGCAAGCCGAAGAGAAAAAAAAACGGCGCCTTCCTTAACAAAAAAAAAGGGAAGAGGAATAAAATTAAATTGAGTGGATAATCTTCGAGAAAGATTGAAGTCTTTATGGGGTGGGGTGTGAAATGTGATTGAAATTTGGTCGCTAAGAAATCGGACTATATAAATACTTCCAGATTTACGGAGAGAGAGAGAGAGAAAAAGACAAAATTAAATAAAATATAATGTTGTATATATTTCTCTATCCTCGAAGATATTGAGGCTCTTTAGAAAGGGAATTTTGGGATTCGTTATATCTTTCTTCGACTCGCGAGGATAGGAAAAAGTGGTTTAATTCATCTTTCGAAATGCATTAAAATGTATGAAATAATTTCTACTTCATTTATACAAATACCCAACAGCTATTAATAAAACCTATTTACTCGTTAAATAGTATACTAAATACATTTCAACCTTTTCGGAGGCGGCGCAAAATTAAAAATACCCGAATATACGATGCTGCCAATAATGATTTGATAGGTTGCCGACGTCTGAACTAGAACCTTCCTAGTAGAAGAAAAGTTTTTAATTTTGCGCCGCCTCCGAAAAGGTTGAAATGTATTTAGTATACTATTTAACGAGTAAATAGGTTTTATTAATAGCTGTTGGGTATTTGTATAAATGAAGTAGAAATTATTTCATACTAATTATACTTGAACCAATTCATATGGAAGTGCCAACGGAACTTGATTTTAAGAATATCGCAAAGGACTATTATAATATTTGGAACTTTCCCAGTTGTCTCGGCTCTATTGATGGGAAACACATTAAAATTAAATGTCTTCCACATTCTGGTTCTGTTTTATAATTATAAACAATTTTTTTCGATTGTTCTTCAAGGAGTAGTAGATGCAAATTATAAGTTTATGAACATTGATGTTGGTGGTTATGGAAAACAGAGCGATGGTGGAACATTAAGATCTTCGACTTTTTTTTATATATGTCAGATGGACGTCTCACTATTCCAAATGACACTGCACTGCCGAATTCAGAAATTAATGCACCTTATGTATTTATAGGAAATGAAGTTTATCCGCTTTTGAAAAATTTATTAAAACCTTACAGTGGACAACAGTTAAACGCACACAAAGAATATAATTTTAATGCAAGATTGTCAAGAGCTCGAAGAACCGTTGAATGCGCTTTCGGAATTATTTTCTCTAAATGGAGAATTTTAAGCAAAGCCATAGAAACTTCTGTAACTGTAGCAGACGATATTGTTAAAGCTATTTGCGTCTTGCATAACGCTATTATTGATAAAGAAGGTACTGAGCATCATTTACGGAATTTATCTTTTGCAAGAGAATTAAGTGTGAGGCATGATTTTGATAGGCCAACCCAGCTGGCTCAAAACGTACGTGATTTATTTAAAACATATTTATGTCACACCCCTCTGTAAATACTTGTAAATAATACCCTTGAAAATTACTTCCAAAAATTTACTGCCACAAAAATCATGTGTAATTATAATTAATGTAATATAGGAATAGTAATAATTTATACTTACGCGTTGTATTTAATTTAACGGCTACTTCCTCCCATAATTTATCTAAGATAAATCGGTTGTGATGGTCACTACTTCTTTGATCCCATAATGGGGATCTAATAAATACTTCGCCGATTAATTTTTCGATGTCCATCTTCAATTTGGTTATGAATAATAGCAAAAATTATTGATAGGTATTTGTTTATCGTCGCTTCTTTCATTATGAAATTGTCTTATTATCAAAGCTACCATAGATATTTTTTCGCAGCTATTATCATTGCAATGATCGACGCTCATATCGTTTATCGACGCTCCAACATAAACGTGCCCTAATGCATTAACATATGGGGAAACTTTGACGGCTTTTTTCTAGGGTAACGGTTGATTTCTGGCACATGGTTCCTCTCGACGAGCACTATACGATAAGCCAATAAAAAAATTTAACCTTGAAATTAGTGGTCAAGATCAATTTTATGATCATTTTTTTTTACAGATCTCCACCGATCCAAGGGTGTAGAATCACTCCACGTGGTACGTGACACTTCGTTTTTTTACACCCTGTACAGTATTTGCATATGGTCAAACTGGTACAGGGAAAACATTTACCATGGAAGAAATCAATAGCGATCGAAATTTACTTTGCCAGAGCGTAAGTTTTATACTTTATTACATGATATAAAGCTTATGTTAATAAAATTATATTTATCTTACATTATAGGATTCATCTGCTGGTGTGATTCCGCGTTCTTTAAGTCATTTATTTGACAAATTGGATTTATTAGACTACACAATTAGAGTTAGTTTTCTAGAACTTTATAATGAAGACTTATTTGATCTTTTATCATCTAATGATGATGGATCTAAAATAAGGTATATAAAGGCAATTGTTTAGGTGTAGATTAATAAGTATCTTATCGAGACTGTACGGTTTCCAATTAAATATTTCTTGTACAGATTATGTGAAGATGCATCAAAGAAAGGTGCTGTAATTATTCATGGACTGGAAGAAGTAACAATCCATAACAAAAGTGAAGTTTATAAAATTCTAGAAAAGGGATCAGGAAGAAGACAAACTGCTGTAACTAATGAATAGTCAATCCAGGTGTGTGTTTCTCATTTTTTTATTATTGAAGTCGTATCTTTATATACTTTTGTCTATTTTCATAATTTTATTGCAGCCGATCTCAAACTGTGTTTTCGATTACCGTACTAATGAAAGAAAATACATCCGACGGAAAAGAAGTATTAAAAACGGGAAAATTAAATTTAATAAATCTAGCAGGGAGTGAATACGTTGGAAGATCCAGTGCTGTTGGAAAGAAAGCAAGAGAAGCTGGTAGTGTTAATCAGTCTTTATTAACTCTTGGTAGAGTCATAACAGTTGTCGTTGAAAGAGCACCTTACATACTTTACCGGTAATAAGAAATATTACTTTTATTGTTACATTATAGGAAAAATAATCTGTTACACTTTTTTTTCCTTATAGAGAATCAAAACTGACAAAACTGCTACAAGAGTCACTCGATGATCGCATAAAAGCTTCTATTATTGCTACAATATCTCCTGCTGCAATTAATCTTGACGAAACACTCTCAACATTAGATTATGCTTATCGTGCAAAGAATATTACTAATCGTCCGAAAATAATTTAATATTCGAAGAAAGAATTCTTTAAACAGTATACAGTGGAAATTGAGAGATTACGAAAAGATTTGGAAGCAACACGTGAAAAGAATGGTGTTTATCTAACGGATGAAAATTATGAAGAGATGATTACAAGCATTGATTACTCAATAGAATAAAGAAATAGAGGAGAAAATAAATCATATTAAAGGGCTTGAAAAAACTATGCAAGATAAGGAAAGAAATAATGAATTTCTTCGTTATTTATTATTATCATTACTGTTATAAAATTATAGATATTCTGTTATAGAAAATATACATATAATGAACTTGAATTACAAACAATTGTTCAAATGAAGGAGTCGTACGAAGTTAAAGCTAAATTAGATAATGTTATGGGTGTTCTGAAATCTACGAACGAGATAAACAAAAATATCTATTAGAAAAATATGTTAATACAGAGTAGTCTTTGTTAAACCAAGCTGAAAATTTACTAAATGTTGCTGATACAGCAACATCAGATTCAAATAAATTACACGATAAGATTGGCCGCAGAACGTTAAAGAAGCGCAGCAAAAAGTACTTAGATACGGATAAAGATAAAATTCTTTCATTGATTGATGTAAGTTTAAACCATCTTTGTAACAAGATATTAAAAAACAGCTTTCGGTAAATGGATTTTTTCTTTGTAGGATACGCAGAAAATAGTTATTTTTTATAGGGTCAACCCCTGGTAGGAAAGAATTTTCATATCTCCGTCAGTTTGTTGCAACATCACCCCACGATCTTCTTAAAAACGCTATAGCTTCACCAAATACCGTACCCTCAACTTCGCTTACATTTTTAGTGATGTTATTCCCTTCTAACGTTGCAGTTTCGACTGCTTCGAATTGTTTCTTGGAAAAAAAAAAAAAAAAAAAAAGAAGAAGAAGAAGAAGACAATTGCAAGAAATGCTGTAACATCAATTAAGAATGTAAGAATAATATGCGTGATCATTTAAATGTTTTTGACTACTGTCACACTTCATTCTTCTAAGGCAGTTGCAACGTAATGTAAGGTATTAAGAATACAGGGAATGAGAGACGTTAAGAATACATGGTATGATAGGTGTTCATAATTTTTACATAACTGAAGTAATCTTATTCTCCAATCGTCAATAAGCTCCAACTGAAGTTCAAGGAACTGTAACTTTTGTAAATTTTATTTTATTTTGTAAATTTTATTTGGGTTGAATTTTACCGGATCCAAAATTTTCGATATTTTTTTTTTAATCTATAGTTTTTGATGCGGAGAATCCAAAAATGCAAATCTTAACTTTAGGAATCCAATGGTTAAAAAGTTATAAGCGTGTAAAGTTTGATATTTTTAGCGCATTTGCTACGTTACTGTGATGCCATATTGGCTTCTTGTCCAATGAACGGTGACGGGTTTAGTCAAATCGTAAATTTGATACTGTCTGAGTTAGTTAGGTTTATAAGTATGTGGACACCCTCTAAAACAGAATGTTCTATTTAAAAATAGACCAGATGAGATTTTTTGAGGAGCTGTAAAAATTTATCTACTAGATCATGTGCCTGGTCGTTTTAAAAAATTACAATTTGTTGAAATCGTGAAAAAAAATAGTGAAAGATAATTTTTGAACTTTAATATACGAGCCTATAATGAAAATTAGAAACATACATTTTGCAGATGTAAGCTACAGTGACTCGCGAAATTGATCACACAGTACCAATGTTCCTAGTTTCCTTAAAATACAGCTTTCTTAGAAATTTAAAATTATTGATTAAATACATTTCCAAAGATTTATAATTAGTCATTACATTTTGATTAAATAAAAAGTATAACGATGGAAAGTATTTGATCAATTTCGTAAGTCACTATATATGCATGCTGAAAATGTCAACGCGTCTAAAAATTATAAGCAATTGAAATTAGTGAAAATCGTGACTAGTTGCAAATAATTTTCACTAATTTCAATTGCTTATAACTGTTAGACGCGTTGACATTTTCAGCATGCATATAGCTTACTTATATCTACAAGATGTATGTTTTTAATTTTCATTACTGGCCCAAAAGAAACAATTATAGAAAGTACCTTTCCGTATTTTTATAATATATAAAACGACAAAAGCACATCATCTAGTATATTAATTTTTATAGCTCCTCAAAAAATCTTAAGTTATTTGGTCCAATTTTAAAAAGAGCATTCTGGATTAGAAGGTGTCCACATACTTATAAATGGAGTGTATGTACATCATACACATACCGAATGTCTCGAAAATTACATTCTCCACTCCCCTGGTCCAGTCAGGTTTATCTATAAGAACAAAATTATATAATATTATACATACACTTCATGCAAGAAGTACTATTATGTATACCTCAATTACATTGCTGGTATTTGAAGAGATCAAATTCATTTTTTTCAAGTCCGATAAAAGTTGTTGCAACGATTCAATCTTCTTTACAAATCAGGTCTGCTGAGATTGCAAACACTTAATCCTTCTATCCTTCTTTTTACAAGATTCTCTGAATTGACGAACGGAGGCTATCAATCTTTTCGGAGTCATTTTATCGGGATATCTGATTCTCTTTCTTGAAGTAGAAGGTGTTTCCAATGAAGACAGAATAACCGAATTATTTTCCGTCAATGCTGGCATTTCAGACGATTGTTCTTGGAGGCTAATTGCAGGATAGTTGTGAGTTGAAATCATTTCCGGTCTAAGCATACAAAAAACATTATATATTTAGTTTGTTTCGTTATTTTCAAGGTATGTACAGACATGCAACAAAACAGCAAACCAAACACCATCGCGAACAAATTTCTGGCTCGCAATGATCTGCTTTGTTGCAAGTCTATGTGCAGTGTATGGAATAGGACAATATACGGAAATGTATAAATAAATATGCAAGCATATTACCAATTACTTAATCATATTTCGTTATGTTTCACTTTTGTTTTCCATACCTTTCATTGTTTGCGTGAGGGAATATCATTGGAACCGAGTTAGGTTTAACAATAAGACGTAAAGACAATAAGCCTGCCTTTACCAAACAATTTTTATCAAAATGTTCTGCACATATCGATGCCATTTTTAGCAAGCTTAAAGCACTCTTCTGGCTATCCAAAGTGATTAAAGCTTGCATCTATTTTTCTCGAAGTTGAAGATTGCTTGGACACCTGAAAAGTATAAATGTTTATTTTTACTTTATGGTACAGTTAAATGGTTAACGATTAAAGACAGTAATCACGTTGATTAAAAATAATAATATATACAAATTACATATGAATGTAAGGCTGAAAACCTATGAAATTGTATAATAAATAATAAGTACTACAAGACAAAATAGTTTTTGAGGTTAGGTAAATACAAATTTACAACTTATGTATGTACACTGAGTGAGTTGCATTGAACTTGTCGCAGTGAAGTTGGCTACAAATTCACTAACACATTCACGCCGCGTCGGTGAGACGATGGACGAGATCGACTCACCGACAGTGATGCCAGAACCGTGGGACGTGGGACAAATTTTTACCCTCTCCACGACGTCCCACGACGTCCCAGTGATTCCCCTACCGCAGTTGTTTCATCTAACACAAGCGCGTTGTCCCACGTGTCCGTGTGAGCTCTGCGGGTTTGGCAGAGTTCGGCTGCTTTCGTCATTTCTACGTTATCGGCTCGATGCTCAAACCGCTAAAGCACGTGGCAGCAGCATCGACGAATCGACAAAATAATATAATTTCGTCCATGGCAATATGGTAGAAGTGAGAAACCAGGAGATTCAGTTCGAATCCCGATTCTACGGTTTCAGTTCTGATTCTTAATGCATTAACGTTTCTTTAATACATAAAAATACATTTTTAATACATTAATACTATGAAATACATTAACTTGGGAAGCAGTTAAAAGAAGGAGTTGAACTGCATCTTTCTTTGATATTTTTTTTAATATTTAAGTTTTATATATATACATATGTATGTACGTCCATATGATAAAAGTACGTGATACAGAAGTAATTTCTTCAATTAGATATTACAGTTATTCTAACTATTACAATACGTAAATCCGAAAACATACGAGGAAAATTGGTTAGGTTCAATTGTAAGGATATAAAGAAATTTCAATCTTTAACGGTTTGTTAGTTTTATTTCTTATTCCTTACAACTATTATAATTTTATTCTCTGAATGGTCATTACAATGAAAGATATATTAGATACAACTTGATTCCTCATTTAATTTGTTATATACATATCAGGTTTCTTGCAACTATTGCAACTGGTCCACGCTTATACGATATTGCATATTTTACTTTCCTATAATACAACAAGGAAACAAAACTATAATATAGTGATTACCATAATACAATAGAAAATGTTAAGCTTGCTATAAACCTTATGTGTTTTCTGTGTAGTTATGCTGCACTTTCGCTTCGTTGCTTTATAATGACTAATGACTGATTTTTCTTTTGAATGAAATTTCCACTAGCGTATTGATGAAATTTTTCGATTAAAACAAGATCAAACACGACGTAATTTGAATTATAGTTACTTTATATATTTGCATTAGGTTTTAAATAAATAAGTAAATATAATGCAAATTATGTCGTATTTGGTCTTATTTTGATCAGAAGAACCTTCCAATTACATTGGTAAAAGTTTCATTTAGCAAAAATGAAAAATAAAAAAGTTATGGTTAAATTAATATTGTCTCACTCAAATGTTTTTTCTCGGACCCTTTAATTCTCGGACCTCTTTCTCTTTCGCTATTTGTCTTTTTCTACGTTCGTCAGCATTCAAGAACTCGCTCGAGCTGTGTCGTTCTGCCAGCCTCGCACACTTTCAGGAGAATCGGGAAAATCCAGCATAATAACACATTCTATGCTGAAAGAATATACTAAGTTATCTGTCTAAAAAAATTTTAATAAATCTGACAGATTTATTTTCGGGCTGCTTTTCTTAAGTAATCAGCATTTTACCAGTCTCCTGTACGGATCGGGTGTAGCAGTTTGTAGCAAACTCAACATGTTTTCGATATTATGTCTAATATACAACCGATCGAAAAATATTAAAAATCCAGGATATTTTGTGCCGTTTTTTATATGTCAAGGGCCATCGAATTGAAATAAATGACCAACAATGAATATTATAATAAAGGTGATCGCTGTTCATCTATTTCCTTTCTACGATGTATTTCTTCCACAAGAGACGGTTTCCTAACAATTTACAGTACAGTAAAATCTGGGTACATATAATGCAAGACGTCCGATCAAACTTCGACACCTCGCTCGGATATGCATATGCAATGTTTTGATTCGATCTCTCTGACTTTTCGTCCACTTTTAACATCAATTTTAGCAAGTAATTACAATTCAAACTATATCGTGTTTGGTATCATTTTAATCAGAAAAATCTGGCCAATACGCCAGTAAAAATTTCATTTAAAAAAAGTCAAAAATAAAAATGTTTTATAACTGAATTAGTATTAGTCACACCGATATGTTTCGGCTCTTTCGTTTGATCATTTGACCTCTCTCTCTCCTCCACTGCCTGTCGCTTTCTACGTTCACGCTTGGCTGCCATCTCTCTTGCATATGTATATCCAGATTTTACTGTACTGTAAATTGTTAGGAAACCGTCTCTTGCGGAAGAAATACAGGATTGCCTCGAAATAAGCAAGTGGTCTCTGCTTCGAAATAAGCAACTGTTAGGTCTCGAGCCACTTGCTTATTTCGAGGCAATCCTGTACATCGTAGAAAGGAAATAGATGAACAGCGATCACCTTTATTATACTATTCATTGTTGGTCATTTATTTCATTTCGATGGCCCTTGACATATAAAAAGCGGCACAAAATATCCTGGATTTTTAATATTTGTCGATCGGTTGTGTATTCTACATAATATCGAAAATATGTTGAGTTTGCTACAAACTGCTACACACGATCTGTACAGGAGAATGGTGAAATTCTGATTACTTAAGAAAAGCAGTCAGAAAATAAATCTATTGCCAGATTTATTAAAATTTTATTAAACAGATAAGTTAGTATATTCTTTCAGCATAGAACGTGTTATTATGCTGGATTTTCCCGATTCTCCTAAAAGTGTGTAAGGCTGGCAGAACGACACAGCTCGAGCGAGTTCTTGAATGCTGGCGAACGTAGAAAAAGACAAATAGCGAAAGAGAAGGAGGTCCGAGAATTAAAGGGCCCGAGAAAAAACATTTGAGTGAGACAATATTAATTTAACCATAACTTTTTTATTTTTCATTTTTGCTAAATGAAACTTTTACCAATGTAATTGGAAGGATCTTCTGATCAAAATAAGACCAAACACGACATAATTTGCATTATATTTACTTATTTATTTAAAACCTAATGCAAATATATAAAGTAACTATAATTCAAATTACGTCGTGTTTGATCTTGTTTTAATCGAAAAATTTCATCAATACGCTAGTGGAAGTTTCATTCAAAAGAAAAATCAGTCATTATAAAGCAACGAAGCGTAACTGCAGATTAAGTACACAAAAAAAAGAAGGTTTATACCAAGCTTAACATTTTCTATTGTATTATGGTAATCACTATATTATAATTTTGTTTCCTTGTTGTATTATTGGAAAGTAAAATATGCAATATCGTGTAAGCGTGGACCAGGTGCAACAGTTGCAAGAAACCTGATATGTATATAACAAATTAAATGAGGAATCAAATTGTATCTAATCCATCTTTCATTGTAATGACCATTCAGAGAATAAAATTATAATAGTTGTAAGGAATAAGAAATAAAACTGACAAACCGTTAAAGATTGAAATTTCCTTATATCCTTACAATTTAACCTAACCAATTTTCCTCGTATATCTTCGAATTTACGTATTGTAATAGTTAGAATAACAGTAATATCTAATTGAAGAAATTACTTCTGTATCACGTACTTTTATCATATGTACGTACATACATATGTATATATATAAAACTTAAATATTAAAAAAAATATCAAAGAAAGATGCAGTTCAACTCCTTTTTTTAACTGCTTTCCAAGTTAATGTATTTCATAGTATTAATGTATCAAAAATGTATTTTTATGTATTAGAAAAACGTTAATGTATTAAGAATCAGAACTGAAACCGTAAAATCGGGATTCGAACTGATTCTCCTGGTTTCTTAATTCAGCCATATTGCCATGCACGAAATTATATTATTTTGTCGATTCGTCGATGCTGCTGCCTCGTGCTTTAGCGGCTTGAGCATCGAGCCGATAACGTAGAAATGACAAGAGCAGCCGAACTCTGCCAAACCCGCAGAGAGCTCACACGGACACGTGGGACAACGCGCTTGTGTTAGACGAAACAACTGCGGTAGGGGAGTCACTGGGACGTCGTGGGACGTCGTGGAGAGGGTAAAGATTTGTCCCACGTCCCACGGTTCTGGCATCACTGCTCACCGACGCGGCATGAATGTGTTAGTAAATTTGTAGCCAACTTCACTGCGACAAGTTCAATGCAACTCAGAGTACATACCTACATACATATATATGTATACATATAATGGTACCAATTTAGAATCATTTGCTCCTTTTCCCTTATATCTTGTGCTCTTACACAATTCCACAAAACAATAACAAACTATAGTATTTTTCACGAGAGAGTACGAGTGTTTCTGTTTCGTGCAGCTCGACTGAGCTCAAAAAGTTCCCCCACCACTAGCGCTACCCCACCATGATTTACTTCCATTGCGATCCGCCATATACGCGGTGGACAAAATATACTAATATAGGAACGGCAGAGATAATGAATCTTTATAACGATGAGCCAGAATCAAAGTAAAAATGTTATAAGTAAAAGTCGCGGGTAAAACGTTTGAAGTCAGTAATTTAAAAAATAATCAACCCGAATCTAAATGTAAGTAGCTATAAGCAGTACAAAATCGAAATTAAATAGTGTATCATATTAAACTTTTTTTATACAATTTACAAAAATTAAATAAATGTGAAAAAAAGAAGGAGTAATAAAGGAATATAAGAGGTATATCATGAAAATACGTACACAATAAACATATCATTTATTAATTATTTTTATTTAAAGGGAAGTACAATGTGTCTTCGTCTATGATATTAAAGTCCATTGGATGATAATGACAAGGCGTAGTCCAAGGGTTAAGCTTTTTCCGGGCTTCTTCTCTATATCCATTCATCTTGTGTAAGTTCTTTGCAGCAGGTTGACAGGAATGTAGATTAGTACCAAAAAAAGAAAAGTAATTAGTATTTCAGTTGTTAAAAAAGTTTGACTGAATAATCACAATCTTTGTATTAGTTGTATGAAAATCGTACTTAACAAAATTGGAATGAAAGTCTTCTATGTCTGAAGGGGTGGTATCAATATTAGTCGCTAACATCAGTATCAGACATGTCCACATCACTGTCAATGGTAGGCATTTCCAGAGTATCTTGGGAGAAGCGATCCATATGCATGAGCTTTTGCTCAACGCCGATGGTGTGGCGTATACAATTTTTCCACATCTCCGGTGTTACTCCTTCAATCCCTTCCGTTAACAGTTGTTTTACCTGTGGTATATTATATTCAGTATTCCTGGATTTAACGTAATTCTTCACTGATGCCCACGCAAGCTCAATGGTGTTAAGTTCGCAGTGGTACGGCGGCAGGCGTAAAATTGTTTTGTTATGCTCGCTGGCATATTCATCGACCACTTATTTTTCTTCTATTTGCACTGAGCGTGCCATTTGGAGTAATGTGCTCCTGGTACAAGTATCAGGCACATGATGGCCTTTTGATATAAGCCACGTCGATGACGGTCTCATCTCTAATTTTCGGCTGTGGTATGGCGCATTGTCCATAACCACCACAGCATTTTCTTTTAATAATGGCTCGATCCAGCAAAACCACTCGAAGAACGTATCTTCGTTCATTTCGTCGTGGTAATCTGCTGTGTTGGTCTTCGATTCAAAACACAGCAGTTCCCCAGATAAAAAACCATCGGCTGACCCAATGTGTAGCACGATATATGTATATTTTAGTATACACATATATTTTTCTGACTCTGGCTGCTTTTGCGACCTAGCTCCGCCACCGGTCATGAAACACATAATGGCGTTAGCGCTTTGAAAAGTCACCTTAAGTTGAAAATACTGAGCAAGTTGTATAACAGTGTTAAAAATGTTTACGGCAGTTACTTCTGAAATACGATAAACGTTGATTTAAGTAAATTCTGTTTGTATGCATTAGATTTCTAAGTTTGATAGAAAAATAATGTGTGTAATTAATTAATACTTTATATAAAATAAGTGAAAACGTAAATAGTGTATACGTAACGTAACCAAGAAGTGTTCCGGGTTTTTGTGAAATAGAAAACAAGGATGGCGGATGCTGCAGCAAGACAGTTACAATACGAATATAAAGCGGTCAGTATTCTTATTAATTAACATAAAAACATTATAATAGATTACAAAGTATCTTACGTTTATATTTTTATTATTATTTTTATTTATATTAATTCGCTTGGATTACAATAATCTAATACATGACGAAGAGGTTATGTATATAAAAATAAGAAAATATACTTATTTAATTGTATTTTTTAAATATTTGTGATTTCAGAATTCTAATCTTGTTTTACAAGCTGACGTGCGCTTAATAGAAAGACGTAGCAGAGATGAAGCTACTGGTGAGGTTATGTCCCTGGTTGGAAAACTTGATGGAACACGAATGGGTGATAGAGCGCAACGTACTAAACCAGGAAAAGCAGAAGAACGAAAAGTCAAGTAAGCACAGTATTTTTAATAAAAATTCTATTCACTTTAATGAAATATAAATTTTAATTTTTCATTTTCTTTAGGCGTCAGAAACGAGATGAAGCGCAATATGACTTTGCACGAATGAAAGGTGCAACACTACTTTCAGAAGGTGTAGACGAAATGGTTGGAATTGTTTATCGTCCTAAAACTCAGGAAACACGACAGACTTATGAAGTGTTATTAAGTTTTATTCAAGAAGCCCTGGGAGATCAGCCAAGAGATATTCTTTGCGGAGCTGCTGATGAAGTGTTAGCAGTTTTGAAAAATGATCGTCTTAAAGAAAAAGAAAAGAAAAAGGAAACAGAACTATTACTGGGCACATTAGCGGAAGAAAGGTTTGCATTATTGGTTAATCTTGGGAAAAAGATAACAGATTTTGGAAGCGATGAGAAAGGCACTACAAATGAAGAAAACATTGATGAAACATATGGAATTAATGTACAGTTTGAAGAAAGTAGCGAAGAAGATGACGAAGATGTTTACGGAGAAGTTAGAGAAAATGATGACGAAGGCGATGAAGGCGAAGAGGCTAATGATGACCGAGCTATACATGCTGAAAATGTAAATATATACTATATATAGCGTTTTTTTTTTTCCATTTCATTTTTAACTTGTTGTAAAAATGTATAAAAATATTGATTGTAATTGTGTGTCATTAGCAAATTACTTTATTGTATTTCAGTTGGGTGGTGCAGAAGAAATGAAAAAAGAAAAACCATTGCACCCTTTAGATATAGATGCATATTGGTTACAAAGACGATTAAGCCGGATTTATGATGACGCAATGATTTCACAAGCAAGAGCTGCTGAGGTATTGGCAGTTTTAAAAGATGCTGGAGACGATCGTGATTGTGAAAACCAATTGGTACTTCTGTTAGGTTACGATTGTTTCGATTTTATCAAACAGCTCAAAAAATACAGGCATACAAGTAAGTAATGCTCATTAGAAAATGTAACTACTAATAGCATTTGAATATATGTATATGATGTAATGAAATATTTTTATCAATTACAGTTGCATATTGTACTATGTTGGCATCTTCACAGTCTGAATCTGAGCGTCAAAAAATTCGAAATAAAATGAACGATGATCCTACATTAGCCAAAATTTTACGTCAGTTGGATACCGGAAAAGGCGATGATGATGCTGATGAAACAATGGAAGCGAGAGCACAACGTAAAAGAAGAGAAGAGAATGAAGACACCGGAGGTCCAGGTGGCCAGGTACAAGGTACAAGAAATTTAATAGATTTGGAAGACTTGGTATTTGCACAAGGCAGTCACTTTATGGCAAACAAACGTTGTCAATTACCCGACGGAAGTTTTAGAAAACAGCGAAAAGGGTATGTATTACATTTATGACAGAATTACTAAATAACTTGTTTATGTTTATATTTTATATAAATGTATGTTGCTATATATATATTTTTGTAGATACGAAGAAGTTCACGTTCCTGCATTGAAACCAAAACCATTTGCAGAAAATGAAAAACTTCATCCAATTGATCAATTACCAAAATATGTGCAGCCAGCTTTTGAAGGTTTTAAAACGTTAAATCGAATTCAAAGTCGTTTACACCAAGCTGCTTTAGAAAGTGATGAAAATTTGTTGCTATGTGCACCAACAGGTGCTGGTAAAACTAATGTTGCGCTTTTATGTATGATGCGCGAGATCGGAAAACATATAAATGCAGACGGAACAATTAACGCTGATGAATTTAAAATAATTTACGTTGCACCAATGCGTTCCTTGGTACAAGAAATGGTTGGAAATTTTAGTAAAAGATTATCTACATATAATTTAACTGTATCCGAATTGACTGGTGATCATCAGCTAACAAGGGAACAGATAGCTGCGACACAAGTTATTGTATGTACTCCCGAAAAGTGGGATATCATAACACGAAAAGGAGGCGAGAAAACTTTCACTTCATTAGTACGATTGATTATTATTGATGAAATCCATTTATTACATGACGAACGAGGTCCTGTTTTAGAAGCTTTAGTCGCAAGAACAATCAGAAATATTGAGACAACGCAAGAAGATGTAAGATTAATTGGCCTTTCAGCAACGTTGCCAAATTATCAAGATGTTGCAGCATTTTTACGCATAAAACCAGAGACAGGCTTATTTTATTTTGATAACAGCTTTAGACCGGTCGCTTTGGAGCAGCAATACATAGGTGTAACAGAAAAGAAAGCGCTAAAACGCTTTCAGGTAATGAATGAAATAGTATATGAAAAAACAATGGAACATGCTGGAAGAAATCAAGTTTTGGTTTTTGTACATTCGCGTAAAGAAACTGGGAAAACTGCACGGGCTATTAGGGATATGTGTTTAGAAAAAGACACATTAGGACAATTTCTCAGAGAAGGATCAGCGTCCATGGAAGTGTTACGAACAGAAGCTGAACAAGTTAAAAATCAAGAACTTAAAGATTTATTACCTTATGGATTTGCAATTCACCATGCTGGTATGACAAGAGTAGACAGGACACTGGTTGAAGATCTTTTTGCTGATAGGCATATACAAGTTCTAGTATCCACAGCAACTTTAGCTTGGGGTGTTAACTTGCCAGCACATACAGTTATTATCAAAGGAACTCAGGTATACAATCCAGAAAAGGGTAGATGGGTTGAATTAAGCGCTCTAGATGTACTACAAATGTTGGGTAGAGCTGGACGTCCACAGTATGATACAAAAGGAGAAGGCATTCTTATTACAAATCATAGTGAATTGCAGTATTATTTGTCTCTTTTAAATCAACAGTTACCTATTGAATCGCAGTTAATTAGTAAAATGTCAGACATGTTAAACGCAGAAATTGTGTTGGGTACCATACAGAATATCAGAGATGCAGTTACTTGGTTGGGATATACTTATTTATATATTCGAATGCTTCGATGTCCAAATTTATATAGTATTGGTCATGATAAATTGAAAGAAGATCCATTGCTTGAATTACACAGAGCAGATCTTATTCATTCTGCTGCGGTGGGATTAGATCGCAGTGGTTTGATTAAATATGATCGAAAATCTGGAAATTTCCAAGCTACTGAATTAGGTCGGATAGCATCTCATTATTATTGTACACACGATACTATGTCTATATATAATCAACTCTTAAAACGTACTTTAAGCGAGATTGAACTGTTTCGAGTATTTTCATTATCCAGTGAGTTTAAACATATAAATGTTAGAGAAGAAGAAAAATTGGAGTTACAAAAATTAATGGAAAGGGTACCAATTCCGGTGAAGGAAAGCATAGAGGAACCAAGTGCAAAAGTCAATGTGCTTCTACAAGCGTATATATCTCAGCTGAAACTTGAAGGATTCGCTCTTATGTCAGATATGGTATTTGTTACTCAATCTGCATCACGATTAATGAGAGCAATTTTTGAGATTGTTCTATTTCGTGGATGGGCACAGTTGGCAGATAAGTGTTTGTCATTGTGTAAAATGATTGATCGCAGAATGTGGCAATCAATGTCACCTCTCAGACAGTTTAGAAAAATGCCAGAGGAGATTGTAAAAAAGATAGAGAAAAAGAATTTTCCTTGGGAAAGATTGTATGATTTAGGACCAAATGAAATTGGAGAATTAATTAGGGTACCTAAATTAGGTAAAACTATTCATAAATATATTCATCAGTTCCCAAAATTGGAATTATCAACGCATATACAACCAATTACACGTTCCACCTTAAGAGTAGAATTAACTATTACACCTGACTTCCAATGGGATGAGAAAGTACACGGTGCATCGGAAGCATTTTGGATTTTAGTTGAAGATGTAGATTCTGAAGTAATACTTCACCATGAATACTTTTTATTGAAAGCTAAATATGCAACAGATGAACATTTGATTAAATTCTTCGTGCCTGTGTTTGAACCTCTGCCGCCACAATATTTTCTACGTGTTGTGTCGAATAGATGGATCGGGGCAGAAACTCAATTACCTGTTAGTTTTCGGCATTTAATATTACCAGAAAAGAATTTACCGCCAACTGAATTGCTCGATTTACAACCGCTTCCGATTACTGCTTTGCGTAATTCGAAATTTGAAAGTCTTTATGCAGATAAATTTCCACAATTCAATCCAATTCAAACACAGGTATTTAATGCTGTTTATAATTCAGATGACAATGTTTTTGTTGGAGCACCTACAGGTTCTGGAAAAACAACTATTGCAGAATTTGCAGTATTACGTTTACTTACTCAGAATCCGGAGGGTAGATGTGTATATATGGTTAGTAAAGAAGCATTAGCAGAATTAATTTACGTCGATTGGTCGATAAAGTTTAATCAACAATTGGGTAGAAAGGTGGTTCTTTTAACTGGCGAAACAGGAACAGATCTTAAATTGCTTGCAAAAGGACAAATTATAATTACTACCGCAGATAAATGGGACGTCTTATCACGAAGGTGGAAGCAAAGAAAAAATGTACAAAATATTCAGCTTTTTATTGTTGATGAACTACAATTAATTGGTGGCGAAGAAGGTCCTGTACTAGAAGTAGCGTGTTCAAGAGCACGATATATTTCTTCACAATTGGATAAACCAACGAGAATTATAGCATTATCAGCTTCGCTTGCGGATGCGAAAGATGCAGCTCAATGGTTGGGCGCACCCGCTGCTGCAACTTTCAACTTTCATCCATCGGTTAGACCTGTACCATTGGAATTGCACGTACAAGGAATAAATATTACTCATAATGCATCTAGATTGGCTGCCATGGCTAAGCCGGTGTATAATGCAGTACTTAGATATGCGTCCCACAAGCCTGTTATTGCTTTCGTACCCACGCGTCGTCAGGCAAGATTGACTGCGATAGATTTATTGACATTCACAGCAGCTGAAGGTCAACCTTCTCGATTCTTCCATGCAGAAGAAGCTGATATCAAGCCATTTTTAGATAGGATGACTGATAAAACGTTGAAGGAAACACTTTCACAAGGTGTTGCCTATCTCCACGAAGGATTGTCTGCGGATGACCGTCGACTCGTTGAACAACTTTTTGATAGTGGTGCCATACAGATAGCAGTTGCGACAAGAGATCTTTGTTGGGGTTTATCGATTACCTCCCATCTTGTGATTGTTATGGATACTCAATGCTATAACGGAAAAACACATGCCTATGAAGATTATCCTATTACAGATGTTTTACAAATGGTAGCACGCGCTAATCGTCCGTTAGAAGATGATGATGCTAAATGCGTTCTTCTTTGTCAGAGTTCGAAGAAAGACTTCTTCAAAAAGTTCTTGAACGAGCCTTTACCTGTAGAAAGTCATTTGGATCATAGACTACACGACCATTTCAATGCTGAAATTGTAACTAAAACAATTGAGAATAAACAGGATGCCGTTGATTATCTTACATGGACATTTTTATACAGACGACTTACACAAAATCCAAATTATTATGGGCTGCAAGGGGTTACGCATAGACATCTATCAGATCATTTATCTGAATTGGTTGAAAGCACTTTAAGTGACCTTGAACAAGCAAAATGTGTTGCAGTGGAAGATGAAATGGACACTTTACCATTAAATCTTGGAATGATTGCAGCTTACTATTATATAAATTATGCAACAATTGAATTGTTTAGCCTTTCATTAAATAATAAAACTAAAATTAGAGGTTTATTAGAAATTATTTCAGCAGCAGCTGAGTATGAAACTGTTCCAGTTCGACAACGAGAAGAGAATCTGTTAAGAAGTTTAGCAGCAAGACTTCCGCATGCACCTCAAGCTCCAAGAATGGCTGACCCTCATGTAAAAGCGCAGCTTCTATTACAAGCTCACTTATCAAGGATACAGCTTGGTCCTGAACTTCAAAAAGATACAGAATTGGTGTTAAGCAAAGCTATAAGATTGATACAAGCTTGTGTCGATGTTCTCAGTTCATCTGGCTGGTTAGCTCCTGCAGTAGCTGCTATGGAATTGGCGCAAATGGTCACTCAAGCAATGTGGTCTAAAGACTCTTACCTGAAACAGTTGCCACATTTCAGTGCTGAAACTATAAAACGTTGCACAGATAAAGGAGTGGAAACAGTATTTGATGTAATGGAATTGGAAGATGATGATAGGAATCGTCTTTTACAATTATCTGAAGCACAAATGGCAGATGTTGCTAAATTCTGTAATCGGTATCCTAATATAGAAATGTCGTATGAAGTTCAAGATAAGGACAAGTTACGTAGTGGTGGTGCAGTCAATGTTATTGTTCAACTTGAAAGAGAAGACGAAGTTACAGGTCCAGTTGTTGCACCCTTCTTCCCACAGAAACGCGAAGAAGGTTGGTGGGTTGTCATTGGCGATCCGAAAACAAACTCCTTATTATCTATTAAGAGACTGACGTTACAACAGAAAGCAAAGGTCAAACTTGATTTTGTAGCACCTGCTCCTGGTCAGCATTCCTATACTTTATATTTTATGAGCGATGCTTATTTAGGATGCGATCAAGAATACAAATTTACTATTAACGTAGGAGAGTACGAATCAGATGTTAGTTCAGGATCTGAATCAGATTGAAGAAATTAAATAATTTTCATTAAATGCTATGTTGCATTTATTAAATAATTGTTCATTACTATTATTTCATTATAACTGTCCACCACCACCCTGATTTTATCTTGTAAAATATTTTAAATAATAATGTCCAAAGAATTATTAGTAGGATAATAAAATGTTTAGCTTTTATTAAAATGGAAGCATTAAATGCAAAAAAAAAATATTTAGTATATATGAATTAAGAAGAACCACTTGTAAAACAGTTAATCCAATATCATTTTCTACATTCAATTTTAAATTTCTATATTGTAGCATTTAAGCATGTGTAGTAGCACATTATAAATAAAGAAATTAATTATTAAGTCTTTTCAAATTTATTATTAATTAATTGTTATTGTTACTGCCCTTATACATTGAGTTAGAAATATACTTGACATTTTAAAATACATATTTCAAAATCAGATCAGATTTAAATTTATTTTAGATCAATAAAAAATAGATTATGTAAAAATTAAAAAAAACGTTCGGGATTTCAGAATCAGACAAAACTTTACTGCAGTGTTTGTCATCGTTTCTTCAACATATTCTCAAAGCTTCACCATTGTACATTTTATACATTGTATATCGTTTTTAATATTTATTCATCTGAATAGTATTATGGACAATATTATGATTCGACAAAAAAAATTGTTTTTCATTCCATTGTAGAGTTTAGCCTATAATTGCCACAATTTTGAGACACTTTACTGTCTCAAAATTTATCAACATAATTTAACAAGAAAACGTAAATAAAAATTAATCAATGTTCGATCGCCAATAATTGCTAGAATAAAAATTATATTTTTTTCAATTAAAACTTCTGGTCATCTTCACCTTTTTAAATGGCATTACACAACATTTTTTATGCGATATTACAGGTGAAATTAATAAATTCAATGGTAAAGGACAAATATACGAGACTTCAAGAAATGTGTATGTACTGAAATTCATTTAGAAGTGAATATTATTGATGCGTTGGGTTAGACTTCGACTGCCGTAAAGCGGCCGACAACATTTTTTTAAAATAATAATAAAGAAGTATAAAAATAAGTTGTAAGAAATAAACAAAAGCCATATCTTATTTATTATTACGGCGGCCGGATTACATATATACCTGTTATTGAGTTTGAATAGACATTTCTTGGAGTCTGGTATGTGCAGTTGTGAACGAAACCTTTACTCTCGCTCGATCCTCGTTTGTAAACAGAAAAAAATGGCAAACAATCTGACGCATATGTATGCTGTCAGAGATCAACAACTATTGGCAGCTTTTTGCGAATATCTCGGAAACTAAGCGAGACCGCTCCTTATATGTATAAGAAAAAATTGTTCAAAATATCGATTTTTCTAATATATCCAAAAATCATCGAAATCGGGAAGGAGTATTTGTTCTGTAGTTTCAGCAATAAAAGAATAATAATAGCAACAAAAAATAATGATAGTACGTATTGTGACACATGGATTGAAAATCGCTATCCTAGTCGATTGAACGATGTGTGACAAAAAAATTTACGCGTCAGAGTTCATCGCCTCTTCGAGACTCGAACTTCCCATTCGCCACGATACATTGTATCGTCGTCGACGATTCGATTGACGCACACATATTCACATATACGAGCTGCGAATGAGCGCGCGGTCGAGCACAGAAAACGAAGAAACTGCGCCCTACAGAAAAAACGAGGAACTAAATTTGTGGTCTGTTTTACCTTTTTGACGTCTTTCGCGAGTGAAAAATCAACGAAATCGTAGTTTTCGGTTTTCGTCTAAACGAAAGCTTGTACACCATCCCCTGGGTGCTCGTTTTGCTCTATCCGACCCAAAGAATGGCGCTCTGGTCTCTATTTGGACATTCGTTTCGCAAAAATGTTTATATTACAAATAAATTAATGCAGGTGAGTCCGATCCGCCATTTTCTTGACTGTGGACAGACACAAATTTCAATATTTTGTAACTTTTTGACGATTTGGGTAAAATAAGGACCAGAGCGCCATTCTTTAGGGCCTTCTGGACACGTCCCTCAAATTTTTTTGCATTCTGTTTAGAAATGACGACGAAAACCGAAAACTCGCGTCTAGGGATTTTTCTAGGGACTGTCGGTCGCCTTAAGGCGATGCTAGCGTGGAGGCCGAACTTCGAATTCCGCGTCGGTAAAACAGTCAACGTTTCATCGAAAATTAGCCCGAACAGAAACTGATTTCAACGCCACCTGAATTATCGCATCCAACTAGCGTCATGCTATGCTACGTCACTTTTCGCATACACCTAAATGACACACGGATGCTACGATAGCTACATGTATCATGTACGATGAATCAGACCAATTTTTGCGTGTGTTGAGAAACCACAGTTTCTCGAGCGAGTTCGGCTTGCCTTTGATGTGGTTACAGCCGAGAATCGAAGCAGCGTACAGGGAAAAAAGCAAGTTTAAATACCCATGTACGTGTGAGACAATACTAACACAAAATTTAAGATTAAAACCTTTTTATTTTTGAATTTTTTTTTATGACAATGTTACTAACGTATTTATGAGATTTTTCTGATTAAAACAAGATCAAACATGGCATAATTTGAATTATAATTATTTATTTACTTATTTATATCTAAATAAGTAAAAATAATGCAAATTATATGGTGTTTGGTCTTATTTTAATCAGAAGAATCTTACAATTACATTGGTAAAAGTTTCATTTAGCAAAAATGAAAAAAAAAAAAGTTATTGTTGAATTAATATTGTTTCACTCAAATGTTTTTTCTCAGGCCCTTTAATTCTCGGACCTCTTTCTCTTTCGCTATTTGCCCTTTTCTACGTTCGCCAACATTGAAGAACTCGCTCCAGCCGTGTTGTTCTTCCAGCATCACATTTTCGTTACCTATTCATCCAATATTTGGGCATAACGCAAAATCAGGAGAGTCCAGCATAATATCACATTCTATGCTGAAAAAACATACTAACTTATCTGTCTAAAAATATTTTAATAACTCTGGCAACTTATTTATTTTTGGGGTGCTTTTCATAAGTAATCAGTATTTCACCAAATTGTTCAGAATATCAATTTTTATAACATATCAAAAAATCATCGAAATCGGGAAGGACGTATTTGTTATTCAGTTTCACTAAAAAAAAGAATAATAATAGCAACAAAAAATAATCATAGTACGTCTTGTGACACATGGGTTGAAAATCGCTATCATAGTCAATAGAACGATGCGTGAAAAAAAATTTACGCGTCGGAGTTCATCGCCTCTTCAAGACTCGAACTTCCCATTCTCCACGATACATTGTATCGTCGTCGACTGTTCGGTCGACGCACACATATTCACATATACGAACTGCGAATGAGCGCGCGGTCAAGCACAGAAAACGAACAAACTGCGCCCTACAGAAAAAACGAGGAACTAAATTTCTGGTCTGTTTTACCTTGTTGACGTCTTTCGCGAATGAACAATCAACGAAATCGTAGTTTTCAAATTACTTCTACCTGGAGACTTGTACATCATCCCTTGGGTGCTCGTTTTATTCTATCCGACCCAAAGAATATCAGTCTGGTCCCTATTTGGACAAACTATTGGCAGAAATGTTTATATTATGAATAAATCAATACAGGTGAGTCCGTTCCGCCATTTTCTTGACCGTTGACAGACAGTAATTTCAATATTTTATAAGTTTTTGACGATTTGGATAATATAAGGACCAGACAAATATTGTTTAGAACCTCCTGAACACGCCCCACAAATTTTTTTACATTCTGTTTAGAAATGAGGACGTAATTTGAAAACTCGCGTCTAGGGATTTTTCTAGGGACTGTCGGTAAAGTTTTCGACGCTATTTCATTAATTTGCACATCCGCGCCTTGAGAGCGAAGCGCTTCCGCGCTCCACAGGTTGTTACACCTGCTCCTAATCCTAAATATCCCTATCTACCGCGACGGACACGCTACACGATCAACCGTCGAAGCAAATCTTCGTACCGCGTGCAACCTTCTAGCGTGCTACGTACGCACCGGTTTCACACCCCCTACGAACGCGCGCTTTTTCCGCTTTCTCCGCTTTCACTTCACTCTTTGTCCACGCTACCTCGCGACTAGTCGATGTCCTTGCTTTCGCTACGCTGAGCTCTACGTGCACACTTTTTACACATTATAATTTACTCAGTTTATTCAATTTTATAATAAAGTTTTGTGTTTATCTACATAATCGTATTTGTTTCGTTCATTTGTGTTTTCAACCCTTCTCTACGTATAATCAGCACCCACGTGTACAACACAGCTAGACTCTCTCGCGAGCCGCGTGTTTGCCGCTGGGGTGCTTGAGACACAAATCCGAACAAGTCTCGAGTATATTTTGCGCATGCGCACTACAATTATTTATTATAAAACAAACTTGTAGATACTTAAGAAATTATTCACTCACAAACAATGTGTCACTCAGAAATTATTCACTCACAAATAAACTCTGTTTATTATAAAAAATTACTAAAAAGTTTCGGCTCACATCATAACTGAAATAAAATTGCTAATTACAAAAGAACTAATTTCTCACAAACGTTAAAAATAGACTCACAATCAATCACAAACGATTTACAAATGAAATACACTAAGAAAAATTAAAAATAATCATATTTTATTATTCCTTCCGGCTAGCTTCATGTAGGTGTAAAGGTTGTACATGGGTTGTTGCCCGTGGAGCGCTGAACCGCTCTGCTCGTGATGGTCCGATGCGATTTTATATTTAAATAATAAGTTAAGAATTTTTGTAAAGAAAAATAAATTGATTAAACTTTGGAAGGGTTTTAATTAAACAATTATAAACTTTAACTCAAACTTTTGTTGCGAGAGTTTTCGTAGTTCTAGGGATTTTGTCCAAGGAACGTGGGTAAGCCGCCCGTGGAGCGCTAAAGCACTCTGCTCACGTGATTTATTTAAGAAAAGGAAAACTATTTTAAACTGTTTTAAATGAACTGAATTTTTAATAACAAATAACTTTAGTTTAATGAATTAGAACACGAACAATAAATTGAATTGAAAATAAATGGTTTTACACGTGTATACTTCTTTTGAGGGTTTTACAAAGAACAAAGGACAAAAGGACGAAGATTCCGCAAGGTTCCTCTATATATAAAGCTCTTGATCACCAAGTAAATAATCGTTAGCAATGCTCATTAATTTTGTCCATGACTAACATTTGATAACGAAAAACCGATTCTCTTCTACTGATCGAGCTGTATAATGAGGAGTCCTTGATAACAAAATACTGTTTCTCTTTTACAATATAAATTTGACGCACTTCAGCCACCACATTCAACTTCCTTTATAACCTAGTTCACAATTTATTCCGCTCCATACAGCCTAGTTCACAATACATTTTGAATCTATGTTCTCTTAAACCAGCGAGGATCGCAACACTTTAAACAAACTAAGAGATTTCCAAATCTGTAACTTTAAGAAATACGTAGTTGCTTCACAAGACGTTTGATAAAAGAGAGCCTTTCATTGCTAACATAAACAAGCATTAGCAACTCTAATGTTAATTAGTTTTAAATTTCAGAGTAATTAACGATCAACCTGATTGGTTCTTTAATTGCATTTCTTTTCTTCTCGAATGAGCGTTTTAGGACTTGACAATGCTTTAACTTTGTTTTGCGAGCTTTATAATTAGTTGTCTCTGACAATTTACAGTTTGAATTTGCCTCTTAATGTACAATCATTGATTTAACGAAGATACACAACGGCCACACTTACATCACTGTGACTTACATATACAAATAGTTTTACGGTGTTTCAAATTATTTACATTTACATTTTCCTCCGCTGTGTGGCGCTGTTCCGCAAAAGTTGCTGACACGCAACACAACAAAATTAAAGTACTAGTGACCTCTGGTTCTGGTGGGAGTACCATCTTTTCAGAAACGATGAGTATCAGCCTTTTGTTTCGAGTTGCCGTGCCGTAAGGCGTTTTCGTTGTCGCGAGTTTCTAGTTCCCTCAGTTTTCTTATGCACACAAACGTATATTTTTTAGTTTAAAGTTTTTGTATATATGTATAATATTTAGGGGCTTGTGTATGTGTGTGTATATATATATATATATATATATATGTATGTCTTTTTAGCTTAGAGTTATATGTATATAATTAGTGTATATACATATATAAGCACTTGTGATTCCGCGGTGTTAATGTGGAAAATTGAACGTGTTAAATATATAAATTATACAAAGGTGCAACGTGCTGTGACTAAGGTAAGGAAGAACTTATATCTATGTTAATTAGGAGAGATAAAGAATAGGATATCAATAGGGGAGATAAAGACAAAACTCTTGAATACATCAGCAGAAATGTTGAAAATAATTACTTGTTAGATAAAAAAAGAATGTATATGTGAAGCATTTTTGCAACTAAAAGCACGACATATTTTTTTCATGTTTTTAAAAACGAAGGTTTAATACGCTTACTGCGTATAAAATGATGAACAAAGGAACGACGAGGAGCTTCACGCGTCTGACGTCACAGCAAACGGATTAACCTTTAGAGGATTAACCAGCATTCTTTTACAAAAATAATGGTTTCATTTTTTACAAAAATTTATGTATACATGCAACGTATATGTTATGCAGAATTTCAGGATCTCTGAAGTTTAAAAATAATTAAAAGACACATTTGCACATGGTCAATTCTGAATTAAGAACTAAAGTAATAGTGTAAACAACATGCACTGTGCATACATCAGAACAAATATGACAATGTTGTACATACATCAATGTGTATAAATCAAAATAAAAAATTGTTGAAAGTGTTTTCACTTTTAAGTCATTAAAAATGCTTCTTCTAAACATTGGTTTTTATTTAACGTTTTTGAAAAAATTGCTGAAATGAATTCTCCTATTGTATTGTTTAATAAACTATAAATGAATTTCTCAGATTCTTAACTGTTCTGGTTTTTCTTTTTCGTATGCTAACAACACATAGTATTAATTTTCATTGGCTGAATATATTAGGCCCAATGTAGCTCGACTTTAATGATCATATGTGTAACATTCAAATAGTTAATTTGCATTCCTTAACAATGTTATTTGTATTGATATAAATAATTTAATTACTATATTTATATAATTTCAAGATTTTTGTTTTTTAATGAACATTACTGGTATTTATTCTAAGTTTACTTTTAATGCATTACGCATTCTTTCAATATTGCATTTGCATTTACATTTAATATTTATCTTATGTCCATTTTGTATTAAAAATATTCATAAAATGTTTATATAGCAATTTTAAGCAAACTTTAAGCTTCAAATTAGTGTAACATTAGTATTTTTTATGGTATTTTTATGTCATTAAATCTTGTTAGAATTTAAAGTTCTAAATTTTGTCATTTTATATATTTCAACCATATATGGCAAAATTAAATATTTAAATTTGTAAAATATTCAGGTATTTCTTCTTATTTATTATTATTTATATAATTCTGAAATGTGAATATCATTGACTATTATGTGTGTAAATTAGTTTGGTGCTTGTTTTTAAATATTCTGCTGCTATATCATGTTTGGAAGAGACGTCATTTATGGTTAGAAAACACCATGTGATTTAGCTACATGATCAGTATAATTATAGATTCCTCTGGTATAATCTTAGTTAATAATCCCTAGTTAATATAAAATTCCTCTCTGGTATAATTTTAATTCTCAGTTGGTATGGTGGTGTTTCAGTTATGTAATTATTATCGTAAGATTATTCATAACCTTATTCATGTTTTGTATGTATACTGATGAGTATTGTTACCTGAAATGTTTTTAATATTCTTAATTATATACAATAATGTGTAACAAATAGAAATTTCAGCAACCACAGAATTAGCAAATTAAGCAGTTACAGGTCATTAAAGTCTCAATAATAGCAACTAACGTAAGGGTTAAAAATCAATTGTATTAACTATGGTTGTTGACAACATAATATTAAGCACTGTATGTATTCTGTTTATATTTTAGTTAAAAAAAAATTGTAGCTGAAGTAGTTAAAATATTTTGTTTCGTATAAGTTGTCTACAAGATGTGGAAAGTGGTAACGGAAAGTTTGGGAAAGAAATTTTCATTTCATTAACAAATGTGAGTTTAGTCAACTTAAGAAGTTTAACATTAATAATCCCCAAGATTAATAGATTTTCCAAACGTATGTCTAAAAATATGTTCAATATACATATAAAGATCCAACATATATTTTTTCTTTGTTGACAAAGGGTATAGCTGGGTAAGGTAGGCACAATGGCCCTTGAACCAAATTAAATTCAGAATGCGTCATTCGATAGCATATCAAAAGAAAATGGTGTACACTAATTTTCAACCCTTTATCTTAATCGGGGGGGGGGGGGGGGGGGGGGGGGCAAAAGAAACGCTAAATCATGCCCCATTTCTCCTATTTAATAACATCCGAAAATTCTGATACACTACAAACACGGAAGCGCATATTATGGAATTTTTTCAGATTTTTTCTAGTTGTAAAAAATGAAAAACCGAACAAACAATCTGAAGAAACGCGATTTGTTATTGTAAATGTAAGAACACTACTTTTATATTACTGTGGTAATAATATATTAGTATAACTATTGAAGTTTTTCAGATTTTTGGTTGTGGTGCAATGTAGTTAAAAAAATCAAAAACCAATTGTTTCGCATGAAAAAATAACTTCTACTTCGAATTTATAAAGTCCACAGTGGGCTGTTTGCCCGATTTCAGCGGTCAAAATTCAATTTTTTAAATTTTACATAGATTGTAAAATTTTTGTGGCTTGACTTAGTTGAATATCTGAGGAACAATCTCCCATCATTCGTTTTCCCATTCATGTATCCATAAAGCACTAAAATTTGTCGGAAGTTTGAAATTCTGTTAACACGTTTTCATTTCTCAACGAATTCATCTATTAGTAATTGTTACCTTATTTACATACATTAAACAGTTTTTTGTTTTATAGAAGTTTTTTTAGCTAAGTATAAGGTATACTTTTAAGAGAATTTCACTTTTGTACTATATACATTTTTGTAATTATTAATATTTAAAGATAACCAACGATTCAGTCACTTTCTTTATGATTCTAAGACTTTGGTAACGATTTTGTTATACTTTCGGGTGAGTCCCGGTGTTCATTTCTGTGCCATTGTGTTCTTTAAAGTTTTCTGATTAAGATGCAAGAAAAATTGGTTCCGACTACGTCCGACTCCGTGTTTTATAGTTGATCTACGAAAAAATGGCCATCGCGCGCGCGCGAAAAACGCAGTATTTCTCACATCCTGCATGTTCGCATTCGCTATAGGAAGGAACTGTTTAACTCATAAACGTTCATTGTATACTTTAGAATACTGTATGTAGATAGATTTTTGTCTCTATTTTTTTAATGTAGTTGAATCAGTCAATTTACGTGGAAAAGTCGAAAAAATTACATTAGTATGTATTATATATCACTTAATGAAGATATTAAATATCAGTGATGAAAAATGGATATATGAGAATGTACCTTTTAATAGAAAATCCTGTGTTTCTATTAATTTTCATCGGAACATGCGTCACTAAATTCCTCGCCTGGTAATATGTCCTCCTTATCTGATGTTGCTCCTTCTTCTTCTTCTTCGCATTCTTCTTCCTCTGTTTCCTCATTATCATCATCACCATCATCATCATCTTCTTCTGATGCTTGTTCTTCTTTAGTTGATGGATTTTCAGAAGGTAGAATCAATTGCAATGTCTCGCTTAAAAAGGGGTTTGATTTTTTCTTTCTAATTTGTCTCATACTGGATATCAGAGGATCGGAAATAATTAAAAATCTATTGAGCACCTCCGTATTACATGCTTTTCTAGTACATTTTCGTGTATTATTTTCTCTGTAACGGCGAAAGTGTTTGTTTCTTACCTCGGCTGCCTCTTCCGAGAGGTTTCCAATGGGTTTACAATTAATAATAATTAATAGTGGACTTCCACACCACCTTTGAGGTTCCACTAATGGCGCGTTAGATTTTTTTATAGTGGATCTTTGCCTGGAGCCCTATTGTACCACTTTATAAATTATCAGCACACGTTAGATCGCCTCTGACTGTATTTGTTATTGTTAGAATTAAGTGAATTACAACTACATTAACTTGATATATATACTTATTTATTGTATAAAAACTAAACTACTCTATACTAGTTTGTCACAAGCTTATCCAAACTACCAACTATACTAAAACTAAATACAAAATCATATTCTACGAATAGTTATAAACTGTCAGCCCACATTAGATCGCCTCTGACTGACATAGTGAAAATGAAAACAGTGTTTCACATATTTTGCAATTTTCGTACCTTTGCAGTTGGCTTGTAAAAAGAACTTTTAGGACGTCGTAAGTTCTTGACCGAGACATATCGTATCCTTATGAATTTTTACTTTCATCATAAAATATGCTATTTTTTTTCGACGTTCGTTGCACGTACTAGTGTCAAACTAACCACAAAGCTGAGGTGAATTGTTAACACCTTGTACAAAATAAGGAAATATTTTATCAAGAATGCCCTCTTCAGCCCGTACGGTAGGATACATTTTATCAAAAATAGTATTAAATATACGAAATGCAAAAGAAAATTTCTTACTAGGGGCTATAAGACTCCCAAAAATCTGAATCATTATTTGTCTTATAGACACGAAGAAATATTAAAATCTGTTCATTTCGTGAAAGAACTGTTGTACTATCTAACAATTCTGCCTTGCATATGTCGCAGTTGGTTTTTCTAATATTTTTCATAGCGACATATCCTGCAAAATATTCAGTGGCACATGATTCTAATGTGTGGGCAGTTTCAGATACTTCTTGCAAGATATCAGCGATGATAGTATCACTTGGATCCTCTACTTCTAGGCTTTGACGGGCGACTCCAGAATCTCTGATGAATCTGGAGTCACTGCTGTCACAATTAACAGAAATTGACGAATTTTCGGTACTAGTTGACGCAACATTTTCCGAAGATTGTGGCAAAGTGAAAAGATTAAAATCTTCGTCATCTAAACAATTTGCAGATTGCGATGGATTGGATTTGCTCTTGTGTGCTGGCCGTTAACAAAGCTGCTGAAACTGTTCGACTAAATACTTGTAAAGCGAGCTTACAATTCATTCGGTCGAATATGCTTCTCTAACAATTTTACGACTGCCCTAGTGCCTTTGTTTCGTTCAAGGTCCCATAGAGATTATATGTCTGACCATGAAACTACAGAATCG